CATGTGTTCAAACTCGTTATTCGTTTAGATTTTCGTCGATGTTCTAGTCGTTATTGTCTAAACTTCTATGAAATGCTGCGTAAAAAAACGTCAGATAATAGAATGTGCAAACTAACTTATAAATTGGATTACATGAATTTTCATAATATTTTCCACTAGACAGACGATAGATGTTAACGTGATCTATTTGTTCTCGATTGCATTTCTTCTTATTTAAATTAGTACTTATATTAATTCCTTTATATTTTAAATATTCGGCCGTATTAATGTTGATACCATCTCCTGCTGATCATTTCTTTCTCTTTCCTTCGTACGTTCTGTCTAATCCTCTCTTCTCTCATAACATTTTTCTCTTAAAAATGTAAGCATGTGTTTTATTATAAAGTAGTTACAATTAGGAAATATGACATAGTTCATAAGCACCATATGATGGATGATGATATATAGCTACTCCTTCAGTCTGCATTTGCAATGCTCTAACCAGGACATTTAGTCGATATATACATGGATTTATTGATTAAAGCAATACATTTCTGATATGTTCGTTTTATTTTCTATGCATGTTCCTTCTTAATTTCTTCTATAGAGTAAATAAATCGTCATTCACTTACTTTTTCTATTTTAGATACCTTTCAACAAAACTCAGAAGTATTATCTAAATTGTTTAACAAAAATCAATACAATGACGGTCTTAGATGAACTTCTGTCACAAAAATGGCAATTCGTTATCGAAATCAAAGAGAAAAATGAATTAATCGGCATCCAATAATCTGGTTATTTTCTTATGATAAAAAACAAAATGAGAAGTCAAGATCGATAATATACATATTAAAAATCATTATTTGCAAACACTCGGATCACTGATAATTCCAAAAGATAAATTTCATTCATATATCATTATAAGAGTTTACAATTACAACTTATCTTCTTATCGCTACTTGAATTGCGGAAATAAAACTGTATACCACCTTGAAATGAAAGAGTAAGTCATAAAAAATTATATCTAAGGAGGGTGTTGGTTAGGCGCTGTTGGCTTCTTCATCCACACCCGCACCCACTTCCACACCCACGCCTACACATACACCCACCCTCAAGATGGTTTACCTTTACTCCTACTATATTCTACATTATCGTCTACAAATAAGCAAATGTCGGGTCAATGACATACAAAGTTATTTAAGCTGGTCTGCAAGCAAGAAGCGCAAATGCGTGGCCGTTTTGAAAATCCGTCCTGGAAGGCAAACAAAACCACCCAAACGCATAAACAACCAATGCGAATTCGTACACGCTTTCAAAACTCATCATGGGAAGCAAATAAAACTGTCCACCCCCACACCCACATCCTCAAGATGGCAAATAAAACCGCACAAACGCATAAACAACCAGCGCAAATCCGCCCACGTTTCTAGGAGTCTTCATGGCTGACAAATAAAACTAACCAATCACATAAACAAGCAGTGCGAATTCGTGCACGTTTCCAAAACTCATCATGGAAAGCAAATAAAACCACCCACCTCCACACCCACAAAATCAAGCGTATACAAACGAAAACACACACCTCAAACAAATAATAATATGGAAAATATTCCTGCAAAAAAATGGTCCGAAATCAAAGAAGTATGTAATTACCCTTCAGCAAGCAGTGCGAATCTGTGCACGTTTCAAGAACTCTTCATGGGAAGCAAATAAAACCACCCACCCCCATATCCAGAAAATCAAGCGTATACAAACGAAAACAGACACCTCAATCAAGCAATAATAGGGAAAAAAATTCCCCGGAAAAATTTTTCTAAAAAAAAAAGGGTATGTATCTTTCAAGAAAATATTTTCCTATATGTAGAATAACTTGTGATCGATTATTATTGTTCAATTTCTTTCACATAGAATGGATAGTTGATAAAAAACGCCGACGATTTCAACAGCACTGTCGATTACAGAAACTAATAACATCGTTTCGAACGGTATTCGTCCCGCCCATTTCACTAATATGTAATCTTTTTATCCTCTCCTTCCTGTTTCTTGTTTCTTTCCTATCCGTACATTTTCCTTCTATTCCGCTCTCCTATCTTCTCTCTCCTTCTCTTTCATATTTTTTCTCTATCTGGGTTTTGTGGACTATATGTATTTTTTTGGTGTAATATATTGTCATTAATATTCAGCAAGCAGTGCGAATTCGTGCACGTTTCCAGAACTCATCATGGCAAGCAGATAAAACCGTCCACCCCCACACCTACAAAATCAAGCGTATACAAACGAAAACACACACCTCAATCAAACCGTAAAATGAAAAAATTCCTCGAAAAAAATGGTGCGAAATAAAACAAGTAAGTAGTATTGACCAAAACGCCGACAACTTTAACAATCCTGTGCCAAGGAAATAGAAGGACATCCTTTATAACCGCACAGTGTCAAGACAATAGGAAGACATCGTTTCGAACGGTACCCCTCCCATCCGTTTCATTAATACGTGATCTTCTTATCCCCTCCTTCTTGTTTCTTGTTTCTTTTCTATCGGTACATTTTCCTTCTCCTCCGCTCTCTCTCGTCTCTTTCTCCCTGATTTATCTTTTATGTTTTATTTCTCTCTTTCTCTTTTATATTTTCTTTCTATCTGGGTTTTGTCAACCATATATATATATTTTGTTGTAACTAAGTGTTATTATTATTTAATAAAATAACTTATATATATCAATTAGAAGTATATTGTATCCTAAACACTCATTTCTCTTACAAACACCATCTTGAGGGTGTGGGTGTGGGTGTGGGTGTGGGGAGTGTGGGATGACTGTCAGTGGGTGTACGGGCGAGTGTGCGTGTGAATGTGAGGTTTATCTGCAGCAATGACTGAACCTACACCCACACCTACTCACAACACACACCCAACCACCCAACCGACCTCAGATTCAAAATCTCCGTATCGAAATACCTCGAGAAATGTATTTTGCTCAAATTCGATATCGGATGTTTTTTGACCTCTCACCGACTCACCAGCCTGTTCACCTACCCCCTTCACCATAGTCACCGAACTGACCTCAGATTCGACTTCTTCGGCCCGGAAACCTATATGGAATCCGTTTCTAGCGGCTAAGGTTAAGTTTTCGTTGATTTATAACGTGCTGAATTCTGATTGGCTTGGACAGATAAACTTTTATCATTTTAAGCCCATGATTTTAACGCTGTATAGCCCTTTCTTTCAGAAAAAGGAATTAACTAAACAAGTAACGCTCGTCAACAAATTCGCTCAGTTCTTTCTCGTAGAAGGATTGTTTTCAGATGTTACATTTTTAATGGATTATTACGTGTATAAGTTTATTTTTAGTGTAGATAAGATATTTATAGCAAATATTAGATAGAAGATCAGACATTCTAAATAAGTATTAATAAAATTGTAAAGATTATGCGTGATTACATAAAAAACAAAACCAAAGAACACATTAGGCAATATCTGATACGATAAGAGAAAAAAACAGTTATTAAAATGGTTAACATAAATGTAAATAAAAAGATAAAGCAAATGAACAGATGAATAATTATTTTAAGATAATTTTAAACTATAATACAGTTTATATGCTTGCGATAACACTGGAGTCTTAGTAAAAGATCGATTTATACATATTCAAAAAGTGAAACAGATACATTCTCATTTTGTCTTTCGGTCAAGTTCATCCAGACGTTTCAATTCAGCGTGTTGAGCTAGAGAAGGTCGAAGAATGATTACATCTTCCGCTCTCTTCACTCTGCTGAGTGGTACATATACTGATGCCACTGGCCTTGTCATAAGTGGAACTTGAAGATCGACTACAATTTTGTTCATTGTGAATCCTTGCGCCTTATATGTAGTTATTGCAAAGTCAGGTACAATTGGCAGTTGCGTTCGTGTAGTTTGAATCAATTATGGAGCTTCTTTCCCACCTTCCACACGTTTAAGCAGTCGACCGAAGAGTTGCTTGATGAAAACAGTAAATTGTTTTTGGATAATTGAGATAGGGATTAGTTTAGGACGAAGTCCATTGAGACTTGTTCTTTTACAATTATTTTAATCATTCATATAAAAATTAAATCTATTTAGTTTATCTAGAAAAAATAAATAATTCGATAATTATATTAAGAAATAAAATGTTATTTATAGTCTTAACTATTTAATATAACAACATTCATCTTATTTACAATTGAGAGACAACAATTTTTTAATGAAATTATTTATCAATAAATAATAAATATTTAGATTTCTTTCAATGATATATTCAAAAGACGTGTAATACTATCAAAGAAAAAAAGCTTTAAAGATTTCTTATTTTATCAATATACGAAATATCTCTTTGTTTTAATTAAATATAGAAATATTATCTCATACAAATGCAAGATTAATAAAAACATTAAAACATTTTTTGCTCTCTCCTATGAATTGAAATTTATTATTCCTAATTTGATGCTGAATTATTATTGTTTTCATTAAAAATAGCGACAACCACTACTCATTCTAGCTGAAAAAATATAGACTTTATTTTTCGTATCCATTTCATGTAAAAATGATTTTTTTAATTCAACTCAACCCAACCCAAACCAATACAGCATTAAAAGTGTATACTGTTATTCTGTATACTATTTTCCTTGTGAAATGATTTTCCTAATTGAACCCAACTCAGTATTAAAAGTAAGGACTATTGTCCTATATTTCTAATTGATAGGCCAACATGAGTCGAAATTTGTTTCAAGCAGATGAAAAATGTGTGGCGCATGTTTTTTTCAAGTGACATACTGGTGTTATTCATCTATGTTCGGTTATTGCTTGTAATGCCTGCAAGTGATTACAATTATTGGCTTTTCTTTATGTAGTGATACATTCATGAATTTTAATTTTAAAGAACAACTCACACAAAGATTATTAGCAAACAAAAATGACAAAAGTTTTAAACAAAAAGAAATGCAATTGTAGTAAATAAGCATTTTCATGCACACAGATTATAATGATATTATAATGGTTTTAAAAAACAAATAATTTAAATAAGTGTAGCGAAATATTCTTGAGTGTTTTGTGCAATCTTGTCCAATCTGTTGAGTTCCTCCAGTTGTGCTGGTGATGGTTTTACTTGTAACGATGAAAAGTCAAAAGGACGCACTATTAGAAGGTCATCAAGTCGTTTAACACGAGACAATGGAACGTAAACCGATGCAACTTCAACAGGACCAGGAGGTGTAACGAGATCAACAATAATTTTTCCCAACGTTTGACCTTGACTTTTATGTGTTGTTATGCTGTATGCTGGTATTAATGGTAGAGCTTTTCGCTTGATCGAAATTTTCGTGGGTCGTCGAACCATTTTTGCTGCTTTTGAAATTTGTTCGGTCAGAAGTTCTTTGACATCGAAAAGAAATGTTTGCTCAGTAACAAAGATTGGAACTATTTTGCTTTTGAGATCTTTGAGTCCAGAATCAAGCTTACAACTCGAGAACTCTACTAAAGCGTATTTTGGCTGTGTTATAAACTTAGTATGCTTTGGAAAAACTGTTTCGTCGTATTGAAAATTTTCAACAAATTCATCATACACAAGTTCACGAAATATTCCACGTGTACCATTTGAGAGTCCGAGCTCAGTTGCAATATTTTCTGTAAGTAAAACGGGTAGTCCGGGCACAAGTGGTAAGTATCCTGGAAGATGTTCAGTCTTATTATCAGGTAGCTCGAGAATTGCTTTGCGTAATCTTGAGTCATCAATGGCTTTATTTTTTATATAATCTTGAGCAACACAAACGACTGGTCTAAGTCCCATCTTCATTGTCTTATTTAGCACAGCTCTATTATTTAGTTGAGTGCGAAGTGAATTGCGAAAAACCAATATAGGCGCCTATTATAAAATATATTATTAAATATGAAAAAATCTAATCAAACTTGCTTCAGCCCATGGATCTTGTTGCAAAGATACTTGCAAATTACCACTTCCAATAATTCGTGTACATAGAAGTTCGTAGTCTTCGGTTCTCGATTTTCCATCTCGTAATCTATTTAAGAGTTCCAAATATCGATTATCTTCCGTTCGCATTTGCTTGTTCAATTTAACAGCACAATTAATTTGCGATATAACCTTCTGTGCACATTGCATTTCTATTTGACGTTCTGTATTTTGTTGTAACAATGTACAGTTATGGTAAAGAGGCTTATCCAACACTGGAGAATATTGTAGATAGTCACCAAAAAAAATGACATTTACACCGCCAAAAGGAACATCTGTATTAATATGCTTTGCTGTTTTCACTATTCGGTTAAGTCGACCTAACAAACTAAGTCCAACCATACTCATCTCATCGATTATTAAGTACTTCACATGGCGCCATTCGTTTTCCAACTTTGCATCACCAGGTCTAAATGTTCGTGTTTGTCTCTTTTTTGAATATTTACGACTTTCACCTAAGAATGAATGAATTGTCAATCCATCAATCTCTGCTGCTGCTATAGATGTTGGTGCCAGTTTACGTAGCATTTTGCTCCTGTTTGTTACTTGGAAGTAATCAGTGATTGTACGAATCAATTGAGATTTTCCAGTACCACCACAGCCAGGTACGCACATCAACAATTGGTTATCGATAATGCCTAAATCATTATAGTTAAGCATATTCTTTGAATGGAAAATTACAAAAACATACCAGGGTGAACTTGGTTATCACCATCAAGATGACTAGCAATAATCATAAAAGCAAATTTTTGTTCATCGTTTAGCGTGAATTTCTTAATGATGTCTAATTTAGTTGGAAATGAAACTGCTATAGTTGAAGTCACAGGTGGTACGACGACAGTTGGTGCTTTGAATGGACTCGTAGGTATTTCAGAAGTTACTACTTCCACTTGCATATTATCATCTCGTACTTCTAAAGTGTACTCGCCTGAAATCAAAAATTTTCTTGCTTGATCTTTTCTAATCTCAATGTCATGTTTCCATTCTTTCATCATAGCTGCATGATGTGAATGCGTTACTGTAAATGTGTTGAAATCGTCTTCGAAGCGGTAGCTATTTGTGTTCCATGTATTCTTGTAATCTAAATGAAACTGAATATTATTGACATAAAATACTAATCAACCTACTATTCAGTATTGTAAATCTGTCCGTGTTATCAATCGCTGCCAACGCGTCGTAGAGATAGCGCTGTTCATGGTTACCGAGAGATGCAGAATAAGCTTTAGTGGTGGTCTCATTTACCAACGACAGCATTTGCAAAAGTTCTTCTGAATCATCTTCCAGATTATTTTCATCGCCTTCATAATAGTTTGGAATAAGAATGGAATCATTCTTAGTATTATCTTGTGCTTCTGCAATAATTTGATGTAAATGTTCGTCTCGGTCATTTTTGCATTCATGCAAGATTTGGATATTTTCGATAGTTTTGACTGCATTGTCTGAGATTGATAGTTTTCGAACTTCCAGCGCCTGAGACCATGTCTGATGCAATTCACAAAGATCTTGTACTGATCTCCATGGTACAAATAGTGTTAATATCGCACGAGAATAACGTTCGCTTGTTTCTTCTCGTTCTCGACGTGGTATTTGAGGGCCAAGAAGAACTGGTACAACTGGTGTAGTATGCTTAATAATAATATGTGATGATGATTGTGGATGTGCACTTGCAAATGTGTGTCGCTCGTTCATCTTTGTTCCTTTTGTACACAGTCGTTCACCTTCGCACCCATTCATATTGTTCAGTAAACGACGGTCTGATTTATCGATTATCTTCTTGTGAAAATGACTTACAAAATCGTACAGGCATAATCCATTTAAATCTTTCGATCGATGCTGATAATCAAGACGAGTGTTCACCATAACATACCTATTACCATTTGTCGTATGTGCTGGCTCCAAAAGAAATTGTTCTTCATCTTCTTTTACATCTCCTTCCTGGTTCTCATCGAATGGGTTCGGCATAACTACAAGAGTCTCATACTTAATATCAGTGCAGTCATTTTAAAATTTCTTACCATCGGTTTCCTCTTCTTCAATATGTTTTTTATTTACACGTGATTTGACTAGTTCTTTTTGTAGATAGCTTTCGATTGATATAAGAAAAAGATTTCTAAATGTATGTGTAGTATAATGATCACCATAGTTCATTAGATACGATGCTACTTGAACGCCAGATATTTCTTGATGTGACGCAATCATATTGTAGCATCTTAGCACAAGTTTACGAGATTTTTCAACAGCATTGTCAAACCTGTTCGTGGATCCATGCTGCTCGATGGATTTGATACCTTGCTGTGCAAGAGCAAACATATCATAGAAAGCTAGACTTGATTTTGTTACGTAATCAGTTATATAATACACTAGAGCTTTAGCATCATTACCAGTCCATATGAATTTAATATCCATATTGGATCGGCAAGCACTTATTAGCCATTCATTGAAGTTATTGATCCACGGATGTGATCGACGCATAGTTATCTGACCGGTAGAGACATCAATGTTTGATTTTTCAACAAGAGCACGTGGCATACGCATGCGACAAGTTTTCTTGTCATCTGACTTTGCTTTTGAATATTTATAGCACGTTGCAGAATGTCTATGAATATTGGATGTTTCAACGAGTCGTATAACATCCTTGCGAAAGATCTGTTGAAAGTCATCATGGGCAGGATTTGGTGTTGGTAAACAGGCTGGCATAACTTCTTTGACTACCGCTTCAGTTTCTTCTAAAATAAAGATTTGAATAAAACTGAAAATATACTAAAAGTTTCTAGTTTACGAAATGATGGTCTATTATCACTGGCTGCACTTGTTCCATCTTCATCTTCATCTTTAAAAATAACAAATAGAAAACTATGAATGATATAATAAAGTTACTGAAAATAGTAGAAATCATTCATATGAAGTAAACGCATGATATGCTCTTCTGACACTTTCCTGAGAAGTCATATTTAGAGTAGAGAAATGCAAAAAGACTCTTTTCCAGTGATATTTCCTGTTTGATAAAAATGCGAATACTTCAAAAGGAAGATTTGAAACAGCGCTCTATGCATTACCTCGAAATTGATCTAAATCTTCTTTTACAATATCTTCTAAGTACTTTAATAATTTTTCACGAAAATCTTCGTTTTGAATTTGTTCTTTCAAGTGTGCTGGAGTGAATTCATGATTTAGCCAGATAAGTAGGTGTATATGGAGCGATCCTCTGCCTTGGTTCTCCACAGTTCCAAAATATGCTTTTGTAGGACCAAGTACTCCCCCAAGGATTAAATATTTCAATATATTTTTTATCAAACAATTAAAGAATTTTGCAGTGGCAACCGGATGTGTTGCGACAATTTTTGCACGATCATAACTTGTGCCTAGCGCTTCTGGCAAAATTTTATCAAGATCTAGATTCACACCTGCAAAATACAGTGCCACAGGACTATGTATATCAGCTGGATTGATCGTTAAAAAAATGCTAGGTAAACCAATATAAAAACACAGAGAATGAATTTTGGTACGAAGAGTGGAGCGCGAATGAGCTGACCCCATAACATGACCACCAACAGCTTTGATATGTTTCATAAGTGTACTTATTCTTTGGTCGACAACATGTGAATGCACTCCCTTTGAGATATTCATAAGAGCTGTTGCTATATCTGCGGAAGTCAAAGATTCTAGAAGCTGCGCAGATTTTTGAAATTCTGGCCTTGTTGTCATCAGATGAGCATGGAAGCATGCAGTACGACGTTGTAAAATATTGAAGACGACGAATATAAATGAGTAGTGTTCTTCAAAACGGCGATCTCCAAACGAAAGCAGATATCGAAGATGTTCTCGAAGATCAATTTTGACTGGTCGAGAAAAATCTTCAAGTGCACCGCACCCATATGGAAAAAGCGTGGGAAAGACGCCTAATAAAAGATTTGGATTAGAATATTCATTTGCTGGTTTGTCACCACGAGGGATCATGTACACAGTATTTTCTTGAGCTTGTTTGTCGAGACCTGTGTTTAGTGTTTCATCAACCACTTGCATATTTAAACGTTCTAGGAGGTGCTCAGCGACGTCATCAGACGAAATATTAGTACCATTAACGTCTAAAACAGCACTAAAACATAAACAGTGGCATTAAAAGCTTTCAACCAATTTCTTTTTATTTTACCTTGGTACCAGTGGTACAGTTGCTGTACTGTTCGATTCAAATGCATTCACGCAAGGATCAGGAACATAACTTGCTCTCTCGTTTTCAGCAGCCTCGATATTGGTAGAAACTTGCATTGTTGCCCATAAACATTCTGGCACGTCATCATCAGGTAATTTATCGATTACTGATTGATTAATTAATATATTTCTATAAAGTGGATTATTTTGTCTGAGCCATCGAAGTGCTTCGGAAACTTTTTTTTTTCGAACAGTCAAAACAGTTTTTAGTTGGTTTCGTTCTGGAATACGACATCCCACAAAAATGATCTTTAGAGAGTCACATAGTTCATCTAATTCTAGTGGCAAGGTAGCAGCAATATTAACAACATTTTGAGGAAAACTTATGCAGTTGCCTTTTATAGCTGATTGCGCTGTGGCCGTTGAGTGGAAAGATGAATGCAGTTTAACAATGCAACTGTTGTGTCGATAAATAGCAATGAGCCTTTGCTCAGGAATGGTCAGTCCTTGTAGTTCTTTTGGTATATCTCCCATCCATACCTTGTTAGCTACGGAGAACTTTGGTATTTTTTCTTTTGTTAAAGAAGACCAACATTCGATACAAATGTCACATTGTATTAAAGAACATTTCTTTCTATCCAAACTGTAATGTAAGCCTCGTTTATAGAAAACTACATCGTTTATATAAGTGAATGATGATTGATTCATTGAATGTTGCATATCCATATCTGTACAAAAAATATGTAAATAAGTCTTATGATTTTAAGTAAGGAAAATACTAACCTGCTTCTCTTCCATCTTGAACTATCGGCAAATGAAGATCATCATCCATATTGTGCTTTTCAACTGAATGCAAGTTTTTCTTTTGCTGTATATCAGGAATGATGCTGCAAAAATCATCATGTACCTTAAGTAATTCAAGCGCCGGGATTTTATTTAGAGGAACACGACGCATATCACGCTTATAACAACGAATATTACATATACCACATGTACCTTCTACTAAACAGCTCATAGACATTTGTTGAATGAATTTTTTCAAGCAGCTAATCTTGCATTCCATATCGGCAGGTTTCGGCCATTCGACTTTGGCTTCTTTAAGTATTTTTGTTGTCATTGTTTGTTTCTTCTTGTTTGCTTTCTGAAGACGACTTCTTTCCCTAGCCAATACTCGTTGTTCCTCCACTTGGTTTTGTGTAAGCTTAGCTCGCTGAATTGCACTTCTTTGGCGCGCCAGTATTCTCTGGTTTTCAGCTTCTTTTGGTGACACAACAGCTCGTTTATGCATACTTCTTTCAACAGCAAGTGCACGTTGATGTTCGATCTCTTGCGATGTAAGCGTAGCTCGCCAAGCCGCAGTTTTCTCACGAACAAGCGCTTGTCGCTGATCAAGTTCTTCCGGTGTGAAGGCAGCCCGACTAGCTGCACTTCTTTCCCGAGCATGTGTGCGCTGTTGTTCAACTTGTTCCGATGTTGAGGAAGCTCTTCTAGCTGCACTTCTTTCCCGAGCAAGTGTGCGCTGTTGTTCAACTTGTTCCGATGTTAAGGAAGCCCGTCTAGCAGCACTTCTTTCCCGAGCAAGTATTCGCTGTTGCTGGACCTTTTCTAGTGCAGCTTCTGCTCGCCCGACTGCCATACTTTGACGGACTAGCATCGGCTGATTGTCTAGATTTGCTGTTTCGGCATTGGTGTTGCTTTCTGTTGTATATTGTCTACGTTTGGTCCGAGGAGTCGTTGAGGCTGAGTGAACTGGCTGCCTTTCGTCGTATTCTGGACTGAATTGTGGAATACGAACTTGAGTTACAGTATTATTCTTCGCTGTTGATTTAGTGGGCGTCTATAAGTAAAAGTGTGATATAATGAAAATTATTGAAGCATAAAATGGTGTATGATCCCGCCTAAGAATAAGAATAGTTTGTATTAACAGTACAATTTTAGAAAGTATATCCACATACACTATCTACGTAAAGGGATTATGTGCTATTCTTCAAAAGCACACACGCACAATTAGAAAGATGAAAAAAGAAAGAGAATAAGCCAGAGGAAGAAAAAAGGAACAAGAGAAAAAGGGATAGAATAAAGGCACACGATATTCAAAGAAGGATAAGCAACTTTATGCAAAAGAACGTTCATTGCTCTATACAAAATCAAGATGTCTTTGCTGCAGCAGGTTGATGTATTTATTGGCACATGTGATCTTTCCATAAGAAAAGTTTTCGCTAAAAGCTAACACTCACAGTAGCCAAATAAACGGGTTCTTGTTCCGAGGGGTTGATTTGAAAAGCATCATCATCTGATGGGAGTAATAATGGTACAAAGTGATTCGGTGTCCAGTTGCCAGAATTGCTGTTGCGTACGTGCATTTCACTTTGAGTATGTGTCCAAAATATAAAAATTGTATTGGACGAAGGATTGGAGTGAGCATGTTCAAAAGTATTATTCATGATGCTTAAATCTTGCCGATAATCAATTACAGGATAAACACTCCGTATATTGCATTTCAGAACATTACTCAATCCTACGATTTCGTAAAGTTCAGAGAATGAAAAATTGCGGGCAATATTTTTCATAGCTTCATAGAGAGAACCAACGATGTGCGCAAAACGATTGCTGTAGAAAACTTCGTTTTTGACGAGTTCAATTAAAGTCCGCACTAGAAAAAAAACGCACAAAACATAAAAATATTAGTCTTGCAAGTATTTACCTCTCAGCTCGCTAGGTGTGAGAACTGCAGTCCCACTCAAACATATAACTGAGTTATATAGACAATTGCCATTTCCAGTGACTTCAATCGGAACCATATTTCGAACGTCCAAAGACGCTTTTTGAACATATAATTTTGCATCTTGATCTATTTTATGAACAGTTGGATCAAAGTACGTAACAGGAGTAAATCGAATCGGCGGCAAAATCCATTCCAGCTAAATAGTTAGAATAAAATGTGACTTAAAATATTAGTATCAAGCATACAGTCTCAATTTGCTGAGAAATAATCTTGATTTGATTATAATAATCATCAGCAATAGATGCGTTGTTAAATTGTATTAAAAGAGTGTCGAACATTGCAGATCGGCTCATTTCACGACAACTTAAGCAACAGACCGTTGTTGCCCATTTACCACAAAATAGGCATCGATTGTTCATATTAATCCTATATATTTGAAATAAAATTTATGGTTATTCTTTCAAATTTATGAGTGCAAAAACAACTATATAATATATGCGATCATTTCCTCGTAAGCTTTACAAATAACTAACTGATCGTCTTCGGGTATCTAAGTATGGTAAATAGTAAAAAATCTAGCTTAGTTAGAAGATTCTTCTTATACATATCTGTGAGCATGTCTGTAGGCTTGGTATTAAATTATGATAATATTTTAAATCTTATAACTTTCTTCTACAGTGTAGAATCAGTTTCACACATATTATGATATGAATACAATATACATTGTTTCAGTTGAACTTACCAATATTATTATGAGATCTTAGAAATGATGAAGATTAGAAATTGTCAATTGAGAATGTGCTGTATGAAACGAGTGAAATAATCTAGAAAGCAATTATTTATAATATAGGTTATTGAATCTATTTTTCAACAGATATTGTGGTATGTGTGTAAAATTTAATTTAAACTTTAGCAAGCATGCAAGAGTAAGGCTATTTAACAAATGTAAAACAACATATATACTACATTTAGATCAGAGTCTATTGATATATCTTGGTTAGTATCCTTTCATAGTTGTTTCAACGGATTGAATATAACTTTGTTGTCTACTGATTGTTCCTCTTAAATTCCACCATCGGTGTACATTTCCATGAGATAGATAATAATCATTTTCATCATCGTTGCATGTAAGATTTAAATTAAAAATACGTAAAATTGCTTGAATTTTTTCACTCTGGTAAGATGCTCTACCTTGCTCCACAGATAGACTAACAAATATCCGAACAAGGGTTGGCATCGATTTAAACAAATGTGTCCATCCTTGATTGATAATAAAGCCTTCATCATCGACAAGACCATATAGTTCAAGTTTCATGAGACAAGGTATCGTGGCCACAAGTTGAGCGATCCAGTTAAATGATACTTCATGTAGTTCAAGGATAAGTGTATGAAGGTTATGACAAATAAATGAAGGCATTGACTTTTGATTATTATTTATTGAGCCAATACTCAGTAAATGAATATTAACAAAATAAGGTGACATATGGAATAAGTCATTCCACTCAACTGTCGAACATGTGCTCATGATGAACTGTTCGACTTTACTTGGTATCACAGCTACAGTGCAGAGTTTCCCAATTTCCGCTAATTCATCGGCCCAAACTTCTACTCGACGCAATGATAAAATAGACAAAATAGATTTAAGTAATTCTGACAGAGATGCAACTCTGTCGATATTAACAGTAAACTGTTCCAGTTTTATGCTTCTTTGAATGATTGTTCTGATTATAGATGTGATCCATTCGGTTGTCCCAACTAGTTTCAATGATCGAAGTGCCGAACAATGTTCAATAATTGTAAGATATGCTGTTTCATGAAGTGTGAGTGAGATGATACGATTGAAATAAATTTGTTCTGGAAGATTTCTAGTAGCAACGTGAAGCGTAAGTCCCCGAAAAAGAAAATGATTGTTTGCATTCAGTAATACTTGATCACTTGCGACGGTGATAGATGCAAATGTTTTGAATAAGTTCATCATCTTAAAATAATTAAATATTTGATGCCAAACATCACAACACAAATCGTGAATTGTACTAATATTTTCTATGAATGAAAATAAAATTATACACTTTTGCTATGAGAAAAATAGTTACCTTCATATGTAGTATCGACTACAGTGAATTTATAGTTTTCACTATTTTTTCCATGGCATAAACGTTTTGGCCGATAATTATCCATATTATTTAATATTAATAATGGTAATAAATATACGATGAAAAACAGAAACGATAAGTCGATAGAATAATCTAAAAACAGTAACTCATATTACTTTCAATAGATAAACCACCATGTAAGTGCAAATGTATGTACAAGTATAAAAAACGTAACATATTTCACTTCACAAGCTAATACATTTCACATTGAAATAGCGTTATATTTAGAAACATTCTTTTTTAGATGAAGATCAGTCTACATGTTAAATACTAAAACATTAGACATAGGTCTATTTAAATAACAGAAATTTTGAAACAGTAGCACACACTAGACAAACATAGTTCTGTGGATGATGATCGAAAAAACATTCACTATGTTCAAGATGGCCACAACAGTATTGTACCGTCGGTAAATCAGCCAGAAAATCAATATTGAGATCACACACAGGACACGATGGATACTGTGCCATTCTAAATGTTGAATTAAAAAGTTTGTGAAATATATGCGTTGATAAATTACTTACAATTATAAGCTAAAATGTAAAAGTGCAATTTTGAGAATTTCGAAGTCAAGTTCAAAGTGGGAAAGATATAATCTAAAATTGTTTATAAGTAACAATGTGAATATGTAAGTTTTTTTTAGAACACGACAGCACTCTTAAACTTATAAATAAAGTCATCTACGAAATAAAACTACTACAATAAGTATTAGTATGTCACAAAAAAGAGTTTTTTTTATTCGTGGCCAAATTTATCGTATAATGATAAAAGCCTACTGGGGATGTTTTTTTTCAAAAATTAACGCCATTTCCAATAACTCTTGATCGCTTATCTCTGGTATAGCGTTGATGTTCATATTATTCATGGCAGCTACTTGACTTGCTCGAACAAATTTTGCTGGAAATGATGCTGTTGTAGAATATTGATCGTTTTGTTCCAATTGATGATGAACCATTATTTTCTTTGATGGAGCGTCTATTTCACCTGAAACAGATCGTTTTATTGTGTGAGTTGGAGGAACGATTGCTACCTACAATATTTGTTAATATATACATGGTATCAAAAATATAGAATTTTACTTTATTTTCAACAATTGGTGTCGACGGTGCTGAAGCGTTAGTTTTATTCATTGTTATTTCTAAAATGCAAAATGAATGAGAAGGATCAAAACATCCGGTAAATAATTTTTTCTTAATACCTGATGGATGAGACATTCTTTTCAACAAAGATTTTAAATAGAAGTTAATATGTATGAATTAATGAAATCTATAATGAGTATATTTTTTTCTTTATGAATATATCTTTCATTAATGTTTAAATTTTTTTTCATTTATGCATAAATCAAATTTATTTCAACCATCTCAACTAATACAATGCTTCTAATGATTTTATTCAAACGCAGGGATTAACATGCAGCATAAACAAGTAAATATATTCAGATTCTACCAATCAATGTATCTCTTTCGATACATAGCCATTATCTCATCTATTGTTTAGGAAGAATTAACAAAAAGCTTAAAAAGAAAACAATGAAAATGAGAGAAATCTTCCAATAAATGCTATTTATAGTAATTATAAATTGTTTATTGTTTATATTCTAAAGTTGTTGAACAAGCAGCAGCGATAAAACCTTCTTGCAGTTGGAAAGTGTCGATGTTGCGTGCATATCCACGCCAATACTCCGTGGTCATAAATTGAACTTCACCATCATCATCAGTAAAATCTTGATACTCAATACGATACAATGGAATATCGAGTTGTTTCATCAACATGTCAAAACTCCCATCAAAGTTGATCGGCTCTAACAAGGTAAATCCTCGTTTACAGTACTTAGCAATCCGATTGCACACATTCTTGGATGTTTCAGCATGTAAACTATAGACGATGAAAGACTTTGTTGCCAATGCTTGCAGGAAAGCGAACGTTGAAATGATTCTGTCACCTAGAAATTTTAGAAACAAATTCACTTTAAGGCTTTCCAATATCTCAAAAACCTTTTCTTTATCATTGAAATATCTTTCTAGGTATTCCTGGAATGATTTCGAGTATCCCGTTAGATTTCTAAACTCCTAAATATCCATTTTCATCGATTTTTGAGGTGGGTGTGAATGCTGTATTCAATGAGCACCCACACCCACACCCACACCCACATTCACAGCCACAATTAACACCCACATCCATTCCGGCAAGTACTTAAGTTATTTAGAGTGACACAGTAGACGTCAAGACTTCAGAAATCTCTCTAAGGCTTCGAGTAATTCTCAAGTGGTTCAAGAGACTTCAAGACTTTATGAGATGTGGAGGGCGAAGTAGCCGCTATTTTTGCCTCGTGAGATATAAAAACGTACCTGTAAATGCTACCTGACTAATATCCATATCAAAGTTGTGCAGAACGTGAGAAAGTGGGCTTTTGGAGTTTCCAGTAGATATTAAAAAAAAGTTGAGCTTGACACCGCAAGGCAAAACAACATCGTAGCGATGGCGTCCTGGCGTTTTTTCCACCTTGAGTTCTTCTTTAAAACATTTCGATGCCATTGCCTGCAGCTTGATAATTGTATTCATCACAATTATTTCAAAATCAGCTCCATTATTTGACAAATAAATCAAATTAACATCTTGTTCAGTGGTATCTGAAAATGGTAAGTCGTATAATGCATTGAGAATACAACCTCCAAGCATTGTTAATTGCGAAAAGTCGATGCCTCCGAGCCACTGATCTGATAGAAAACGAGTCGCTAGATTTCCTTGAAATTCATTGATAGTGCTCACTAATCGCATAGCTCTTGAACAATTTTGATTATTTCGTACCTGGAAATACGAGCTATCTAAATGAATTAAGTATCAATAGTTTTTTAACTGGAAAAATTATTTTAGATTTCTTACTTTTAAAAAATATTTTCTCATATTCATTCAAATCTCGGTTTGAACTTATTGTCTGACCATATAATTTGTAGTCAATTAGTCCAAAATCTGCACAGTACAGATCTGTATTAAATGACAAAAGTCGCGAATAACATTGAAAAAGTGGTGTCCGATAGGTTTTGGCTAGTTTGCCAAAACCTTCAATACTGAAACACGGGTGAACATATAGACGTTGAATAGGCTGGATGAAAGAAGAATAGTTCCCTTCCAATGGGATCAGTTTATGGTCAAGGATTTTGCATTCGTGTAAGTAATTTTTATATATTTCTTCAGCTATCAAGATCCTTTGACGACCACAAATCTTCTTCATCAACTCACGAAACATATGGTCAGTCGTTTCCGCAATTGACCAAAATTGTTTTGTTTTATTTACTACTTCAAGGAAATTAGATGCATCTGTTCCTTCAAGGAAGTTTAACAAATAATATCCTATTTGTTGATTGAGATGAGCGATTTTATCATCACTTTCGATCAGAATCATCTAAAATTAATGATTTCTTTAAAAACTCGATAAGTTTCTTATTAGATATTCACCTTTGACTTTTTTGTATTTAAAGTTTTAGCAATTGTACAACTTCTTTTAGACATTCTAGAAGAATTATATCTGAAATATTATGAAAATTTAGTGGTTATTAAAAAAAAACAATTTTATTAAAAAGTACTTTAAATATGAAAGAAACAATTGTAATTCGTGAATATGTAGTTTCCAATCATAAAACACACTCTATCTCATCATTTTTAATAAACAATCGTCAGAATGATCAAAAATTCTAATATATATATACATTAAATTTAACCACAAAAACCTATATACAATAAATGTATGTTGACCATCGATAACATTGAAATGTTATATAAAGTTGTAATGACATGGTTCAGGATAATATCCAACGACAAAAATATAAAAAGACACATGTCAAATTAATCTGAAATCATATCAATAACAAAGTGAGTTTTGACAATTATTATATTAGTTGTTTTTTGAGAAATAAATTAATCAGATATTATATAGCAATAAAAAATATAACTTTTTTTTAACCAAGCATTTTCGTTTCCCTTGGTCATACAATAATCAAAATGATTTTATTATTTATACTATCTCTTGACTTTGATAGAACTAAATTCATTGAAAAAAAGCGTAGAACCGATTTAAGTATATTTTATTTTAAATTCATTTTTTTTTGATAGATGGACGATTAAGTTTATCATCTTTCTGAGTCATATACAATATAAGATGTATAAGATGTACAGATACAATCATGCATATATATATGAAAGGAAAAAAAGAAGGACATCTTATGTTTTTTTGACAGGAAACATATGATCGATCATATGTTGACGATCAAAATATTGTATGTTCAGAGGCAAAGAACTAAAGACATATTTCTTTTCTTTTTTCTTTCCATATATATATATATAAATCGTATCGTTTATACGATCCAGAAGATGATAATTTCAGTCGTTCACATACCAAAGAATGAACTTTTTGAAAAAAATTATGTTTCGATCGATTCCAATTTGAAACTTTTCGAGTATATGAGATGATATAATTATATTTTATTCGTCACCACATATATATGAATTTTTAAACATATATTCCCTACTACTCAAGTTTTAATGTAAAGTTCTGATGCGCCGCTATTTTACGAAATTCTTATTTGTATGAAACATCTTTTAGACCGTTAAAAATTATAAATTCAGCAATTATTTATCCTCAGAACAATAATCATTTTGTTTTATCTAATTTTTTTACTACTTTTTTCTCTGAATCTGCCCTCATTTGTTTGTCTTTTTTTACATACGGACGATAACCTACATATAATTTTCCTTCTTCTGAGTGATCATTTTTTTATTCTTCGTTGCTTTGAATGCAATAAATTTGTCGGCTACTCTCTCAAGCAACTGCATCTGTCGACATCATATTATTTTCTTTTTGTGCTAAGGCTTTTTCTCTTACAATTATCTATTCTCCTGTTAAAATCTTTACAGAAAAAAGACGCTTGTCTATATCAGAACAGGTGCATGAGCTAGTTTCTTCTGTTGATCTGTTTATTGCTCGAACTTCTAGATCGTGTTTAACAAAAAAAACAAAGAAATAAGTGTGATTAAAATCGATCATAATCTAATTCTTCATCTCATATTTTTCTCATAAGATGAATATGTTCCACTTTCATCGATAGTTATTATATATTTTAAACTGAGAGATACTTTGAATTTAAAGGTTATATCAAATTTATTTTCTACATAAAGGACAGCTACTAATAAAGAGTAGTAAGATTTATAACGAAGATACTACTCGCATGCATTACAAACGCACATAGATAAAAAGTATGGTTATCGTAAAATCTCATGTAAAAAAAACATCTAGAAGCTTTTGCACATTCTGGGGATTTTTAATGTAATATTGTTGGTTCATCCACCACCATTGGTTGAGTTTACAGATTCGATCATACACTAAAAAATAACAAGAGCAAATAAGTCGTTCTCTGTATTGAATAAACGAAAAAAACGTACCTTCGGGGACTTTTAAGCGTTGTAGAACAGTTTGCTCAGATATTCGCCGAACGAATAATTTGAATAATTCCTAAATATCACTAGCTAGAATTAAAAGTATTAAAAAGAGTAATTTCATACCTTATTATCAAATCGATTCAGATATATAGTATAACTATGCCGAAATAAATCGACGATGTTTTGCGATGGTATTGGACAATAATGCATTTCTGCTGCTGGAAGATCATCTGGACGAGTTAATGGAGCAGGAATTGGATTTTTATGGCGGTATCTGACCAAAGATATGTTTGGGATTGATTTAGCAGCTCTTAGAGCGTAGAAAGTATCTTGTTCTTTTTTAAAGAACAAATAGAATAGTGATCTGTTGGATGCTGATGATATACGTCGGAATTTGTAAAACTTTAATATTTGTTGCAGCTCGCCAGAAAGAACACTGTTCGGAATATCCGTTTCGGAACGGTTGTTGAGCACTAACCGACATTCCATACTAATAGAAAAATTATGCACTATTTATAAAAACTATAAAAAATTTCTTTTTCCTTATCGTTTCCAAAGTATTAAATCAATTTGCAAGTGCTTTTGCTGCAAATAATCTGTTTTTACTTTCTACAGATTATGAAGAACTGTTCTCTCTATGTTAAAAAGAAAACACTGACTTAATGTTCAAGAAATCTCTCTATAGCAAATACATTAATTAATATAATATATTGTTGTCTAAATCATTTTTAGTTGTTTAAACTAGGTAGCTTACATATTACAAAGATCTCTATCTACTAAAATACTCAATTTGTACTGTATGTTACTCTGCATCTGAGAAACATAGTTCTCCATAGTTTCAAATATGAAAGTTGTTCGAATATGATTTATTGTCACATTACAAATAAAAAAGTTAAGCTGTCCGATCTTATATGCTGTTTCTCAACTATGTGAATATTGATTACATTTTTAAATGTAGTTTTACTTAACACAATCGTTATTAATCTGAGTAAAATCGTTTTAAAAAAATGATTGCCATAATAGCTCGGTGTCCACAATGGATCAATGACTTACGTTTTATTTAATGTATTTTGTTTTAGTAGAAACTAAAATAATAAAATAGTTCTTCCTGCAATAATGAAAAATTCAGAGAAAAAATATCAGTCGTTAAAAGGAACACTTACGATGCTTATGATGTGAAGAAACAGGTAAAGTACGTTTGTAATAACTATTTTGGATATTAAATACCAACAACAACAACCGTGGCGATCAGGACATATGGCGAATATGAATGGTTGCTTTAGTGAGAAAAAACAACTGTATTTATACTACGACTCAATCTTATCAGAACAGGTCATATCTCTCTTTTTTTCAGAAGGTCATTAAATATCGATCGGTTACTTGCATCAATGAGCTTTTCAATAATCTGTTTTTCTTATAGATGCTCATCAATGTGTTGAAAAGTAGGAAGCATGAGATAAACTAATTTGACAAATTGGCTTTTTTTAAAAATTGATTGAGTACCTTGATTAGTAAATTGCTCTGGAACACATATCAAAACAAATTTTACGCAAAGGTTTTCCTCATATTTAAATATATTTCTTAGAGACTTTAAAATCTTTCTTTTTATTCAAAAATAGCAAGAAACTGCTATGTTCGGTTAAGTTTCAGAAGAAGTCGTTTTTCAAAGGGTGACTGTTGTTATATCTTAGCTCTGTCAAATATCGTTATCAAATTTTTGTACTTAGGAAGTTGTATATAAATATATTATATATAACAATATTCATAAATCAAAGAACCATATTTAATATGAAAATATGAAAAACTCACATTTATTGAGAGACTTATTAACGTACAACTTCATATACTATCCAGTTTGTTCAGAATAATATTTCCAATGAATTTTAAAATATACTCCTCAACGAGAAGATTGTCTCGTTTCAAACAGTACAAATAAAATCTATCATCTACAAAGTTCTAATCTAAAATTTATACTGTCATGTGAAAACAGCTATAGTCAGTGTTTAAAAGAGAATGGTCTACTCCCGTGTGAATTTGAGAAGGATAAACTATGAGTTTAAATGTTAAGCTACTGAGAAACATCGTTTTATGTGATTTTATGAAGAGTAAAACTCAATGGAAATAATACGATATTCGTGAAACTGAATGTAGATTTTTCGATTATTAACTATTGAACAAAGAAAAAGGATTTGAAAATGTTATAGGTAGCACATCAAGTTTTGTTTCATCAAAACAATTTTTGCAACTCGAATCTTATCGAAAAAATCTGATATTGATCTAGTTTGAAAACCTTCATTTTACACTAATAAGATATTCTTACTTAATTGAATTGTATCAGTACAATTATTTTAAAATTCATGTATAGGTTGTTTAAGTGAATGTTATAAATAAATCGGCAGTAATTTTCGAATCGATCGACTTTAAAGAGATTAATTGTGAGTAGAAATGGATATAAGAAAATATAATTCAGTATGATATGTTACGTAAATTTTAATATATCATAATCTAACGATCAGATGTTAATTGATAACCATTTGTTCATTCACTTGTCGGTGCTAATGTCCATCTTATGTCAGAAAAATGATTATTATCACATACTATTGAACACTTTTTCATTCAAACAATATAGACACTTCATATCGGTTACACATATTAATCGACGATATCAGTTTTTTAGCCAGTATTTCAAGAAACTAATCATGGTCAATAATTTGTTCAAAATCACAACCTCATTACAATTTAATTCAAAACTGCTTCCTTGAGTCAATTTCGATTAGATGTTTTCATGTTTTTCTTGAAAAATAAACAGATTTATATTGATAATTACAAGAAATCGAGTAAAACAGCTGAGATAATCAATTGAAGTCAACAACTGTGTTTTTAAACTACTTTTGATAAGTGATCGCTGAAAAAAAACATTTTAAACTGATTTCATTTAGTTTTTTGATTTATTTTATCGTTAATATTCAACATGAATCGATTAGAACTAATTGATTGTATGATTAATCATCTTTACTTTAAAGTTTAGTATACAATTCGAATTCATTTAATCTATCATATGTTTCGTTTGCCTCATCTATCATTCAGTTCAGTTTGAAATCCTCCTAGTTCAAATAAAAATATCTTACTTTGAACTAAATTTTATTGCTCTTCGATATATATATATTGATAAAATTTCACCTCTGACAAAAACAATATAAAAATGCTATTTGTAATCGATACTTTTTTGTTGATAAAACAATGTTTTCATTTGATTGCATTCAAATAATAATAAGTAGTCTTCACCGCATATATAGTTAATAATATTTCATAAAATCAATTCACTTATAGTAGAATATCCAGTAAACTAAGGTTTTTAGATGCAGCTATAGTGCTTCCAAGACTCATTTCATCACTATAGCATTAATTTTACCCAGACCAATCATCAGATCTTTACAATAATTGAATGATTGTTGAGTGGTGACAATAGTCTCAGACATTATCAGAATAAAGCGAAATGATATATCAATGTCATTGAAGAATGACAACACTTCAATGTCACAGATTGCGCTGTGCTGATATACCGTTCGAAAATAAAATGAGGTTAATCGTTGTGTTGATCGATCATGCTAGCTTTTTGTTCTTGTTTGAAATGACAACATCTTGAATCAATTCTGTTATCTTATTCAATTTGAGCAGTCGAGTATAAATAGGAGAGAAAAAAAGCAATCGAGTCATTTCTTTTTCTTATTGACTTACGAAAGCATCCATTATGTTCATCACAAACTATGTTTTACGTGCAAAACGGGAACTTATCAAAACCAATCTTGGTGGTCACGAGACTAACGCACATGTAGCAGGAGATGACAATAAAATAAATTTCTATGGCAAGCCAGAATCACCAGAAGAAACAACATTAATTCGTAAGGCAGGGGATCAGGTTTCGAAAATCCTAGAAGGAGGTACTAGCATCGTAGTTGCTCCAGCAAAATGGCTTGCCAACATTCAAGATAACTGGTAATAATTCTATATAATATTGTAAAAATGATCCTTTGTGGACACTGAGCCTTTGTGGCATTTTATTTAAGATAATGAGTGCGATAAATATCAATATATATGTCGTGCCGAAGTCACACTGTTGCCGAAGTTTAACTTCGGCAAGAAAAATTTTGTCAAAGTTTAACCTCGGCAGAGAGTGTAATTTCGGCACGACATATGTCTATAACTTTCTATCTAAAGGTTTAGAAATTTTTTAATATGTCTATAAAAAATAAAAGAGAGAGAGAATAATGCTGATTGCTAAATATACATAATTTTTTTGTTAGCGATATGTTCCGGTCAATCGAAGATTTTTCAGTAATAAGAGAGAGAGAACAGTAATCGCTTAGAAATATATATAACGTTTGATTCTATAATAGCTCAAAAGTAATTTAACATGCTCATGATAGAACGAGAGAAAGATGATCATGCTGATTGCTAAATTTACATCTTTTTTTTAAATTATTGACATGCTCAAGATATATCAATTTTTTCATAATAATGACGGAGAGAAAGACGCTCACTCATAACTATAAATTAGATAATCTTTTTTATCAATCAACATCAGTGACATTGAGCATTATTAACATACGTAATGATCTATCTTGCATTACTCTGTTGATATTATGTTTATCATTTTGTTAAAAATTGAGCTGTTTTGTATAATCTACTGTTTTTTTCGAGATGGTCAACTTGCATTCCATATCCGGCAAATCATAATTATTTTGTCTCAGAAAATACTTAAAATTGATCATATCTTCAAATATTTGATTAAAACCAGTTATTGCGCATCATTTCTGTTATCAATGAAAAATTTTCATTTTAGGATTTGAGTGCTAGGTGATATTTTGCTTTATGAGAAATTGTCTGCTTAAATTACTATTTTAAACTTTCTCGAGCTATGCTCAATCTCACCGTTACACCTATCGCATCTATCCAGCCAGGCTTCCTATATATATATTTCTTATGTGTTTTATTGAATCCATCTTTTCTACGTCCGTGTCCTATTTTACAGGCTAATTTACATCATATGCGCAACGATCTTGATGATTTGTTTTCTGATCATTTACTGTTATGTTCGTCGAAAAATGTCATCTTCCGGTTTATCATCATACGCAACACCAAATATATCAAAAATGACAATGAAGAATGCCATTAAACTTGACACATATCGTCGTGCTCTTGGAGATGAGTAACATATACCATCTGCTGTACTCCTGATTTTACATTAAACAATTTTGTTTTTGACTAGTGTGTCTTTTCCGACTGCTCATTCTATATGATTTTTAATACGTTCTTATTTGTTTCTTTACTTTAAATTTAATGCAACACCTTTTTATTGTTCTTTTTATTCATATTTGTTAAAAATTAGTTGTATGCACGTTTTCTTTTAAAATGATCTACTTTGATGTTGAAGCATGGTTCATAATTGATTAATCTCATTTAATCTTTTTTTATGGCAATACATATTAAAAAAAATTACAGATCTAAAACGATTATTTTATCAAAAGCGTATTGTGTGAAAGGATTCTAATACTTCAACTATAATTATTTAATTTCTTCATAGCCGAAATTCATTGGCAAAAGAAAAAGTGTCAGCTTTGTATTGGCTATGTTGGTGATAGATATAATTAGCTTTATCTTTAAATGACTTGAACAAATGAAATGTGATAAGCGATTATTCATCATTTATCACTTACTCAATTATCTGTTTAAGTGAACGAGCAGATATTAAAACATCGGTCAAAAAATATTTTGTTCTCTTCTTTATATGTGCAAGAATTATATAGAGACTTATCGGTCAAACGAATAGAAAGAAAATTTATGAAACCAACGGTAAAATTAATCTAAATGGTCAAGAAATAACAATAAGAGGTCAAACGATAGCGACTACAATAATAACACGACCGACTAGACAATAGCTTCATGCTAAAATGATAACTTCTCGTCATTCCAACGATGAAGAAGAGGCAAATTTGAGATTGTTGCTTGTAATAGATAGCTTTTTTTTATTTAAGAATTTGTTTTCGTTTTTAGATACTATGAATTGTTCCGAAGGTCATATTACAATCATTGGAAATAATAATAGCGTTTATTTTAATAAATCAGTATATCGCTCAAGTTCCAACTGCCGAATCATTTATACTAGTTTTATGACCGATGTTGTACTTATTATTATTACATGTCTCATATTAATTTTTTGTATCAGATGTTTATTTTATCGCCATCGTAAGAATCGTCAATCGCACCCAATAGTTGCTAATGATCAATTCTTCAATGGACAAAACATTAATAATTGCTAATAGCATCCTAATTATTCTCTGATGTTCGTCAAAAAAAACATCTTTTTTATTTACTTTCGTAATTGTATAATAATTTTGCTTAAATAATAATAAAAAATTATATATGATCGAGTCAATGATACTTTCCCTGGTGGCAGTGAATCACGATTCGCTGTAGTCAATCAAAAAATATCAGTAAGAAAACCAATATTTGCAAAAATGATTGCGTAGAAAAATGCTTTTATTCAGTTTGAAACTTTGTAGCTTTTATAGTTGTTGCATATTTCTTATATATTTATCTGTTAGAATTTGGATAAATGATTTATCGCGGACGTGATAAATTTTAGTAACTTTACATAAAAAAATTCTTATTTGTTTCGATTCTTTATTTAGATGTATCACTTTATGTTTCAATATTATTAAACATACACATATTATGGCTTCTCTTTGTTCGTTAGACTTCTATTAAAAATTAAACATACTGATAAAATCAAACAAAATATTTTTAATTGTCCTATAATCTTTATTTGATTTTGTTATTCAACATTCTATTTTCGAAATAAGTACAGACAACATTGTATCATTTTTTTATATTTCTATGTATTTTTATATACTTATTAATTAAATGTTCATTTTTTTATGTTCGTATGTTTTTATGTAATTAATAATAACTGAGGGTTCATTTTAATAATAATTTCACATATCAGTTTTGAACTATGTTTCAGTAAAAAAATTTCTTTTTGTTTCTAAACCGTTTTAACTTTTTCATTCAACATTTGATTTATACAATAAGCGTAAATAAAACTGATGTACATTTTTTTCTTTATAAACAGTTATTATTTAATAGTTCAATCTCATCCATTAAAGAAACTCTTTGAAAAATAATCTTTTGAATTTCATTCACTTCACTATATTTAGTTAATTCTGATGTTTTCGGAATAAGATCAAATATTTTATCAATATTTGTTGTATAATATTCCGAAAAGTAAATAATTACCCCTAACCATTTGATATCGAAAGTTTCTTTAGAGATAATTTTCATATATTTCTGTATAGAAATACTTTTATTTTTTGATAAACAGTGGAAATCGACATATTCAAAAATGTATATTGTTGATATGAGTTATCATTAGATGTTTTTTTGTATAAATCTACTTTTATTGATAACTCCTTTAATTGTTCAATGTGATCTATTTCTATTTCAGCATCTTTAATGTCTTGTATCGATTCGTATGTTGAAAGTATTTGAAATAACTACGACAAAAAATTTATGAATTTCTCATTCATATCTCCTTATAAATTCCCAACTTCAAATAAAATATAAAGGAAAATCATTTGAAATTGTGTATGATTGACATTGTTAACATTACAATATAGAATAAGGCATATTAAAATAATAATTCCTCTTATTCGAAAAAGATGTCATCTACAAAAAGTAGGTCAACAGCTGAGAAGACAGTGCAAAGAGTAGAACATCTGTTTAACAGCTGAACAAAAAGAAAAGGCAACGTGACATGTAACATAATGGATGTCCTTTTTTTTTCTTTAATATATTGTTCAGAAAGTTACTGACATATCTTTTGAAATTTTATAGAAAAATTTCATATTACTAAAACCGTTACAGATAAATGTAAAATTACTGAAAGAATACATACACGCTAAAATTCTTTTTTGGATTTTCTATTATTAAAATAAACAAAAATATTAGTAGCATCATTTATTCATTTTTACATTTTAAAAAAATTCTCAAATAATCTGTTTATCATTAATCGTCAAAAATAAGAAACGTCTTTTTTTCGAATAGGTAATTACTCCTCACCTTTAATAAATGAATTTAAAGAGAAAAAAATTAAAGTGACTATCCTAATTTCAATAATGTTTTTGGACAAAAACTACGGTTTCATATATTTTTCATGCTCTTCTTTTTTAGATATATGTCGATCTATTTTTTTTGCTTCTTCTAGATATATTTTATGAATTTTATTTTATTCTGTTTTTATATATATTTACCTATTTGATTTTATTCTTTTTGGATTTATACTCATGTATTTAAATTTATTATTTTTAGATATATCTTCATGTATTTGATTACATTTCTTTTAGTTATGTATTCAGCTATTTAATTTTATTCTTTTTTATAAATTTATGTATTTGATTATGTTCTTTTTTTTCGATTTCAAAGAATTTTCAATGAATTATATTGTTATGAATCGTATAGAATCAGTAAAAATTTTCTATGAAATAATTTACACATTTGATATATGAATTTCAAGTAAAAACATCAATGTGACTACGATGCGTCCTAGAATCGTTTTTGACATAAATTAAAATTTTACTTATATATTCTATTGAATTTTTTAGAGATATTTTTTATATTTTAGCCATTGAGTGATGTGATTTGTTTCATAGAAATGTCATCCTTGAGCAAAAGTGATATATATGTTCATACATAATATCAATCCTACATATTTTTTCTACATGATGATAAGATTTATAGAACTATAAGAACATTTATATCTGAATGTCAAACATCTATTCGTCTGAACATAGTTTTTTGATTACAGAATATTAGAGTAAGAAATTGGTTAATATACAATAGTATTTGTTTGTACGATATAGTCGGTCATGAAATAAATAATTTGATTTTCAAGAGAAGTATAACTATTTAATTGCTTTGAGATCTAGATTTACATTTTCTATAGATAACAATTAGAGCATCGATATTTTCTCATACGTATGTATATTTTTTAATGTAAATGAATTACAAACTTGTTGTAAACACACATAATAACGGTCTGATATGATATATATGCTGAGTATGTATTTTGCCATTATCTTCAGTCAAAGAGATGTTCTATGTGTCGTAGATTCTTGTAGATCCTGATAGAGCATTATATTTCCTCAAGTTTATATATTTCATTTTGTGGTCGTCTTATTGTAGATAAAGATGTAGAATACATCAAATCTATATATACCAATCGCTTCAATATTGATATAATTTTCGCTATGGGTCCCAAATTCTCAACGTGTCAAGTAGGTAGTAACGTTGGCATATTTGGTAATGGTAACTCAGCATTAATAATCAATGGTGTCAGTTATAATATCTCAAATATATTCAGTGCAGCTGCCAATGTGTTCATGCAAAAGTATCGATCTGAGTTTATCATAATGCAATTCACATCAATTGCTTTGGTGATTATTTCGATATTATTAGTTGCTCGGTGTCTCATATCACGAAGTGCTGCAGGCAAAGGTGAGATAATACCATCGGATTAGAAAATACAACTTTGAATATATTTTTATCGTTTATTTAGAGATACAAACTGCTTTTAAGGAAGTGAGCATATCTCATCCAAACTATACAATTCTAATAATAATAATTGATTTATATTTTTGTTTAGTCTGAAAAGAAAATCAAAATGGATGTTGTAAAACATCAGAAATATTTCAAAGAGGTACTTTTATTATCGATAGATTTTTGATAATATCCGCTTTATATCTAGCTCGATAGAGCTTTACAAGAAGTTGAAAACATATTAAAAAACAACAATTATGCTCTACTATATCTTGCACAACCATTAAAATATATTGAAACAATGTTCAATGTAGTGCAGTCATCGCCACATCTACTTTCTATAATAATATCTAAGTTAATCGATCAAAACTACGCTGGTCAGTGATAAAAAAATTGATTCAGTTTATGTAAGATTAACAATAGGATTGTGTGTGGCTACTTTTAAAACCAATACTTGCAACGCTCGGCAGAATTCTGAGACATGGCAATCTATCACTTCTGCTTTGAACGGCCTCTGTTGCTATATTGGAGTATCATCAAGGCTATCTACTGTGAGTCTATAATAAAAATAGCGAAACAATTTCTGTTGTTAAATAAATATATACCTTCACGTTATTATTTCAACTATCTAGGCTGCAGTCCATTCTGGAATTATCCCCGTATTTGCTTCAGCTTTATCTCAAAGGTCCTATCTAGATGATCTAGATACAAATATGGTAATACACTATTATAATCAATGAAAACTACTTTTTACTATCTTTTACATATAGTCAGTCATGTTTCTGTTTCAAACGGTGTCTCGAATATTTCATAATATAGCTCAAATCGAGGAACTGAAGTATAATTTGGAAAATTATAATTGTTGCGAGGTGTGTGCTAATGTTTTAAATATTTTTTTTTTATCATTTTTTTACTTATTATTGGAGCTTTAGATTTTACTTAACGTAACTGCACATACAAATAATAGGTTATTACGTGCAATCAATCTATTAACGGCAGTTCGAATAACAAGAGATGGTATACATAAAATTTCATTCACAAATGACGACAGTAAAACTCAAATTATATCCCTACTGACGACTAAAAATTTCTTTTGCTAAATTTTCAGGTGCAATGCTATTCCGATTGTACTACGAATCAGCTAGATCTAAAAATCAACAAGCATATGGACTGAAGCAAGAGCATATATTGAACGGACTTTACACCATCGGTCGATTTGACTGTCTTTATCATGACTTTATAAAATATTGAATAATTTTGATATATATAATAATTCTTTTTTTGGGTATCTGCTGTTTCAGAAATAAATAACCATTATTATTTCTAGTATCGCACATATACTTATATCATAGTCTTGAATACAGTTGCTTTTTTTGTTGAAAATTAATTGATTTCGAACCATTATTTATATTCTAGATTAATCGATTCAGATCGCTCTTGTTTATTAAAAGCAATTCTTGTTTTACATTTCAAACGAAATCGTACAAATTTAAAATGAATACTAAAGAAATTATGGCTGGTAAAACACAAACAAAAATGATGAAAATAGTATTTAAAACTGCACAATTAATGCGTAACCCATATCAACAGTCCTCATGGACAACTAAACCAACTCAACTAAGCAGAAAACGCTTAGTTATAAATAAAACTGGACAAAAATCTCCCGCAAAAAAGTAGAAAAACCAAGTTTAAAAAAACTTGATCATTGATTCAAGAGGTATATATTAATAAAAAGAACATTTTATCCCGCATAATAATATTTATTTAAAAAAAATAGGAATTGATGATTTTAATCTAAGTTCAACTGTTCAAAACAACACCAACAATATTTATGCGGACGTGGAAATTGAAATGGTGGATGGACAAGGAAAAAGATTAATCTACAATTTTCCTGTTTTTTTTTGTAATTTTACGTTTTTGTGTAAAAAGTTTAAAAACTTTATTGTGTGTTGAATTCTTTCTAATAAATATTTTGTACATTACAAAAAGACTTAATCGTTAATTATTTTTCAATTTTTAATCAAATCCTACCGTTATAAATCAAATTCTTCATAAATATAATCTTTATCTTTATAGAATGAAGAATAAACATAATTTGTATTTTAAAAGATAAACAAAAAAAAGTCTTTATTCTTTATAAAATAAATATAAAGATTTTCAGTATCTTTGTTCTGTTATCATAAAGTAGAAAGTACTCTATTAAACTTTATATCATCTCATGATTGATATAATTTTTAACACAGTAGTTTTACATAATCAAAAATATTACAAACATCTCTATTTCATTCATTCATTCAGTAGATTCATGCATACTGATCCCTTCAGAAGAACAAATGGTGAAGAAATAATACATTGAAATATATATTGTATCCATTCTTGTGAAATGTGAAACAACTGAAAAAAGTAAAATATAATCAGTCAATGAACTATAATTATAGTCTTGTTAGCCGTAAGAGCAAATTAATAAAATACAATGCGAATATAAAATATAGTGAATGAACAAAGATTTGCTTTATATTTATAAATTATTATTGTATAGAAAATATTAAACTTTTTATTAAACTATAAAGCCAATGTTCCTAAAATGAACGCATTTTAAATAGGTGTTCATTATGACTCGCTCAGCGTTGTCATTTTATATCACGAGAAAGAGTATAAAATTCTGTACAAACTCATCTAAACAAATAGTTAATAGAATATTTTATTGCTAGAGATGTTCACAATCGAGTTGTGGTGACCCCAATACATATCAATTAATAAAATAGTTGAATCAAAATGCATAAACATGAAATAAATGATGGAAATTAAGTATATATATACTCATTTGAAATATGTTCCTGTAATAATAAAAGAGGCTATAATCAATAGAATCGAAATTGAAACTGCAGACTCAAGCCTATTGTTTCATTTGCAATACTCATATATATATTTTTTATCGGAAGACGTATGTGAAGGGCATCTTAGATTCGAATTGAGTTGTATTAGATCGAAATTTATTTCTCAATAAAAATAAATCTAAATGAAAACTTCATTGCTTAAATACTTTATTTCAGTAACATTTACTTTTTCAAAGTATGCAATCAATGTTACAAAAAAATTTTTAATTGCAGGGGTAACTTGATAAATAATTATGCATAAAACTTATTTAGTAGAATTATAATAAAAGTTGTTGATCATATGATTAAGATATTCCTTATTAAAACGTCCAACGAAGTTTAGACAAATGAAATACATGTAAACAGACGACTACGACTACGCGGCTAATCCATCTAGAGCAAGATTTTTTTCAATTGTATGTCAATGCTTTAGCGTCTGTTGAGAAAATATTTTTGACTGCATCTCGACACATTTTTTTGTCAAACCGCGTTTCGTGCTTACATGAGTAACAATATAATTATTTATTTAAAGATTTAATTTTATATTAAAGAAATAATGAATATAATATAAAATTCCGAGAAAGTTAAAAACCATATTTTATTTCATGAAAGATAAAAGAATAATCATTTATATTCATATACATATATGTAAAACAAACTTAAACATGAGATAATATTTTACAACATATTCTTGATGTTGTAAATAAATTCGAATTTTATTTGATAAATATTGCCTCAGTTCATTATTATACATAAATAAATTTACAAGAATACGTAATACACATAACTAACTAAATATTATAGCAATTTGTACAAACTTAAAATCAAAACTCATTGTTTGATTTGAAATATTGAGAATTAAAGCTGGAATGCAACCTCCGATAAACATTGTAAACATAAAAATCATCTGTCGTAATAAAATGATATATCTCGACGACTTATTACTGATGGCTGATTTTCAATAGCATTTGTTAATGCATTCACAGTATTAGAATGCACACGAAGAGTAGAAGGTCGAACATCAAAAAAAATTAAGGTATTTAGTATGATATTTATACCTGAAGGGAATATTGTAGCTGTTATAAGCGTATAAATTATCAATAAAAATTTATTAGCACAATACTATGATGATAAAAATTATATAAATAGATCTATATATTTCATTAATCATAATTTTTAGTGAGCAGTCTGTTTTTGACAAATATATTCATGTCAAAAGTGATTTTTATATCATCTTATTTGTCATGCAAACATTTAATAAATTTAAAAAGATAGGTATTAAAATTCTCTATTACTTATTCATCAAATGAAATACAAGCAAAATAAAATATCTACCCATTTTGTTCGTAAAAAGAATGGTAATGAAATAATATATTGGGCTGTTAATTGACCTGCAATACATATCATTATTCATCGTCTTTTCTTAAAAACAGGTTTCATATGATATACTAATAAACATAATCGATGAACTGAAAAAGTTACGAATGCAAATGGAACTTGTATGCTTGCCGCATTAAAAGTATAATATAAAATATTACATATAAAACGTGGATATTCATATTCAGGTACTAAAAAAATAGATAACAAAACAAATCTAACTAAATATTATTGTAATACACATATTAAATATAAATATACTATTTTGATGATGAAGACGTCGAATAAATATTCTTGAACATGACTATATAAGAGTCACAAGTATATTTACTGCATATAAACCGCTTTGTACGATATATAAGATACCACCAAGGATCATAATTGTGAGAAATAAAATGTCTTGTGATCCATTATCCTTTTCATAAAATTTTCAATTTATCTATAGAAGTAAATATATATGTGCGATCATAATATTTGACTTTAAAAAAATTCCTTATACATTTCTATAAAATATGACATTATCACATCATAAAGGCAGTTGTTCTTAATGTCAAGTATTTTTACGATACAGTATGAAAACAATTCTATCTTATAAAAACTAATTGTTTTTTTTTATAGAATATAAGTTTTTTAAATAGAATATTCTTATAATATTAAAGAAGATTAGTATACATTATGTTACTTTTATTAGAACAAGTAATTGTTTTATCTAAGCACTTCACAGTACTTTATGAAATAAAATTACATTAAAATAGTATATGTCAAGTGCAAAATATTATTTCTTAATAATAAAATCAATTGTTTTCGCTTGAGAGCAATAAATGTTGAATATCGCCAATATGTAGATACTTCTTTGACTATAATCGTAATATCTATTGATCTATTATAGTGATAGATTGTCGATTTTGTTTTTGTCGCACAACTTAAATCAGAAGTATTTTTACACTAAAATATATTTATTTTACAATCACATGCAGAGCACAAGATTTTGGATTTAAAATATATCGTCTTGATGTTCAATAAAAAAAATGAATAGATATATTGATTTTATTGTATATATGAAGATAAACAGAAAAAAACAACAAGTGAAAAGCGATGAGTCATTGAGAGAGAAGAAGAGATGAGTAAAAAAAATACCAAGTCGTTCAAGGTAACTCACTTTAATAATTAATGAAAAAAATCTTCGAATATTGTTTTCACAATAACGTATAAATTTATGATTGCATTGGATTCAATTTATAGTAATACCCAATAAACATAATTCACCAAATAATGATGCAGCTCAAAAAAGAAGTGGATCAAGACTAACAGTATAATTTATAATTATTATAAAATAAACAGGAGTCCATCCACCTACAAAACAAACGTTAAAATCATCAAAATAGTTTGTTTCAAAACAGAAATATCTCAACGATTAATTTTTGGCTCCTGACTAACACTAACATTTGTTGCTACATTGACCATTTGTGGTTGAATTCAACGAGAAGATTGAATACATACATAGATACGATAATTTGTAAAAATATTCATCATTGTAGGTACACATACACCCGTAATAAATGTATAACTTCGCATCCATAATTCATTCATACAGTACAGGAAATAAATATATTTAATTTCAATACCAGAGTCTATAACTGAAGTTCTTCTTTCGTTAATATAATATAAGATTATGTTAAAAAGAGCTTGTCGAAATTTTATTTCCTTTTAAAAGCACTTATTTGATAAAATATCACACTTTTGGTCAAAGATACCAAACATATTATGAATCTCCACAAATATGTTCAGATAATTGTATGCTAATGAAATCAAATAAAAGCAGTCCAGCTCACCATTATTATTCTATCAAAGTTCTCATCATCTCATGATTAACATCTTGAGAGGATGGATGTGGGTGTGTATTTTGTACTTATCTCACCCAAATTCACACGCACTCACCCTCATTTTCTCTAACGTTGTTCCTTGACGTATATAATGAGATCTTTAGTCTTCATATTTTTCTGGTCTAGTACTATGTATTCGACGAGATCGAATACTTTCAGTAGAGGGTCAGCGACGCTTGCGTTGCGTTACTTGTATATAATGAATGAATTCTTATAGAAAAATGATCAAGTAAACATGAATCTGTTCTATTCATGTTTTCTTTTACTTTCGTTAATCAAAACAAAATCGCATAACTGATAATGTATTTAAGTTCGATTGAAGAAATATTATAATTTCAGATGTGATGAAAGAACAAAAGAAAAGAGTATTTGATGAGCATGAAAATCTTGAGGATGGATGTGGGTTTGACTACTAATGATCACCAACATCCACACCCACATTCTCTATTCGAACATTTTCAACCGAACTCAATCACTCCAAGAGCCTCAAAACATTCGTTACGGATTCGGAGTCTGTTGATTCTACCTTGTAAAAAAAAGGTAGAACTTGGACTATTATGTAGACGAAATGAAAAAAATAATATTAAGATAAGAGTATAACAACACCTTTGACGTTGGAGATAATATTAGTTATCTTTTGCTACTTACGTGAGAGTAATAGACAAACAGAAAGTAACTTCGAACAATAGTGTGTTCTCTTTTTTGCGCTTGAGTATCATCTGAAACATAATATGCAAACCAACAAAGTTTATAGAGAGCGTGTTATTGTAAATAATAGACCACACAAATGGTGGCACCACCGTTGGTTCAAAATAATCGGAATTTCTGTTATTGTTTTAATAGTTTTTGCTGTTATTCTTGCTCTGGTATTAAACTTCGTCGTTTTTGCACCGAAGAAATCAGAAACTAGTACCACCGCCTCTACATCATCATCATCACTAACAACAACAATATCAATACCACCGTCATTATCAACAACAACATCAATAGTGACATCGACCACAACTCTGCCACAAACAACAACTACAACCACAACTCAGCAGTCAGGTAAGCTTCAGAGTAACGTTTTCCATCCTCCTTAAATGATACTTTTAACTGAAAAGTGAACAGAAAGAAATCATTTTGCGACAAAGGAGCGTACGCATATCTGTCACGCACGGTATTTTCGCGCATGGAAATACCAGCCAATTCTCTTGCTCTCTCTTCCGTGTGTAAATATAAATAGCTGTATCTACGTATTATTTACTAGTTAGTCCGTCATCTCTGATTGTTTCTTCTACTCCTTGGATAAGCCAGAGTCCAGGTTTCGAACACGATAGGATGCAGTCTGTATTCTTTGGTCATGATAAATCACTGCATTTCTTAATCTGGAATAGTGCTGTAAATGCAACCGTATCTAGACACCGTTTCCAACTGCAAAAATTCGTACGAAACGAACCGGAAAAAGAAACGAAGTCCGCTTTTCCTTTACCTAGGTAGTTCCATTAAATGACTATCATCAGTAGAAGCTGTATATAATAAAAAGAGTGCATTAATTCTTAGAAACATTGTAACGGCAATTATAAAATACAAACTTATTTTAAAAGCAAGAAACGATTTTCATTTTGCAAAATCTAAAGCTCTCCCCACATGATTTTATCATTCTGAGAGTTACACAAGAGACAGTCTTTCCAGAATGAATAAAATCAAATGTTTTTATCTAGAGTGGTCTGTTACCGGTAATATGACTAATGCACGCTATGTTCACACAGCATCTGTATTGTCAAATGGACTAGTATTAATTACTGGTGGTCAAGACAATAGTGGTAATATTTTAAATAGTGCTGAATTGTATGATTCATCAATGGGTACATGGACAACTACTGGTAGCATGACTTATACACGAGTTTATCACACAGCATCTGTATTATCGAATGGGCTAGTATTAGTTACTGGTGGATGGAATAGTAGTACTGTTTATAATAGTGCTGAGCTCTATAATCAATCGACAGGTACTTGGACAACTACTGGTAACATGCATAGTGTACGACAAGATCACACAGCATCTGTATTATCAAGTGGAAAAGTATTAATTACTGGTGGAGGAGTAAATAGCATTAGTGCTTTAAATAGTTCTGAGCTGTATGATCCATCAATAGGTACATGGACAACTACTGGTAACATGGCTAATCCACGAGTTTATCACACAGCATCTGTATTATTAAATGGGCTAGTATTAGTTGCCGGTGGATACGATGGTCATAGTGGTAATTTAAATAGTGCTGAACTCTATGATCCATCAACCGGTACTTGGACAGCTACTGGTAGTATGGCTAATGCGCGGACTGCTCACAGAGCATCTGTATTATCAAAAGGAAAAGTATTAGTTGTTGGTGGAGTTGTTTTAAATAGTGCTGAGTTGTATGATCCATCAACAGGTATTTGGGCAACTACTGGTAACATGACTGACGCACGATTTGATCACACAACATCTGTATTATCAAATGCACTAGTATTAGTTACTGGTGGATACACTGGTAGAATTCCTTTAAATAGTGCAGAATTATATTCACTATTTCATACAAATTAACTTTCAATCGTTTTATTCTTTTTCTTGAAAGTAGTCCACATTCAAAACAATAGTTTAATTAGAATAACTGGCCTCTTATGATGTCCACGAATTGTTTCTTCGATACCTTTACTGAGTTGTCTCATACTTTAATATTCGATTCCAATTAAAAATAAATATCTATGTTTTTCTACCCTTATATATTATTTTATTATAATTAACAACCCTAAAAGATAATCTAAGGGACAATCTATAGTTATATCAGATATAAGATGTAATGAGAATGAGAATATGAATATTTATGAGTTAAACAAAATACTGGCATTCACCTTCCCTTATTTTAACGAAAGAGAATAGACAATAATTTGATTTATATATAATATTTCTTTCTGATCGGTAATTATGTTCTTGTGAGTCTTCAATTAATTGATTAGTGTAAAATATCTAGTGAGAAGTTCTGTTGAAATATCAAGACAAAACTATACACACAGCTACTTTTTCTTCGTCATATTGATGTTTTCCACAAAGTATGAAAGTGTTCAATTGTAACTTTAGATCATAATCCGGATCTTTCAGTTATAATATCTTATGGATTCATATCCATGTTAACAAAGATATTTTTCATATTTTATTGTTTGTGAATAGTTCATCTCATTTCATTATCAAGTAGTTTAGAGAAAGAAACAAGTAACGCTCGTCCGAGGACTCGCTTAGCTCTTTCTCTTAGAAATGCATCTTCTTCACATCTACTGAAATCACAATTGAAAACCATGAAAAAAAAGTTTTCAATTTTTTTTTTGATTTCTCATCCACCCCCTATCGTAGTCACCCAACAGACCTCAGATTCGAACTCCTCGCATCAAAAAACCTCTAGAAATGTCTTTTTCAGAAAATCGATTTTCAATGTTTTTTTGACCCTGCGGACAGACAACCAGACAGTTTATGTTTGCAAGACTCTTCTCTACGAGAAAGAGAATAATAGGTTTGTGGTAGATTTAGTAAAATATCTGTTTTATTTGTAATATAGCTGAGTGTTATTATATTCTACTATAGTATCATATTCACAAATATGAAATGAATCTTATGTCATTTATAGTTTTATTATTAACGTACAAACTTTCACAATAAGTAGATGCAATTGCTAGTCTGTTTTCATTCAAATAGCTGTCGATGTGTATGATACAAAATCTCTGAGGAAGCGTTTCAAACAATATCTAGATCCAGACGAAAACTTTTCTAAAACTCAGCTAGATATAATTACTAAACGCTTGATTCTTGTGATTTTTGATAAAGTATCTGTTGTTAATGTTAAAATAATCGAAGACATCCATCACTACCAGTATGAACACCTGTGAAATCAATAAACAATGGCTAAGATAGTAATATTTTGTCTGTTAAGAATATTTGATTGATTAAAAATCATAATTCATTCAAAGAGAAAAAGAAATTAAATTTTATTAAATTTCTGTTTATGTCACTACACAGAAGATTATGTGAAAGATCATTATTCAGCAGATCAAGATGGTAGCGGGAAGGTGGATGATCACAATACCTTAGAGTTAGATTATACATCACCTCCGTATTCACATTCAACCATAAAAACCGGTAAAGCTATTGAACGATTAATGACGTGAGGGTGGTTGTGGGTGTAGGTGTATGCAAAGAGATAAATAGTCACACCCTCACAAGGTATATATGTTAATAATCTTTCAATTTTCGAACATGTTTTTATACTTTTTTTTTTTGAAACCAGGATCAAATCAGGCACGAAGAAAATTAACTACTACATTGCTTACACCTAGTTCGTTTGAGAGTGTGGTGGGGTGTAGCTATTACATGCACCGCTGACCCACATCCACACACACACACACACACCAGGATCATCAACAACATTTAATAACAATAGTAAAATAAATCAAAGATCATCGCCACAATTCAACAATAATGTTAATAATAATAATGCTAGTAATTCAATGTTAATGAATAAATCAAAACAACAAATAGATTTAAATGATCAACAAAATAATGATCACCACTTTGTTAATATGAATGGTTTAATTAAAAATAATAGTAATAATAATAGTTCTACAACACACAATGCTCATTGCACCGTAACACCAAATAATCACCAACATAATGGAAATGAACCAATAATAATTGATGATGATTCATTAACTAATAAAACTAAACAAAATAAAAATGTTTCATCTATATAAAAATACATAGATGAAACAAAACATAAAACGGACTGGGTAAATTGTAAAGTGATGTGCTCAGAAACAACACAACATAAGCTATTGATAAAAGAATCTTTATTCATCACAGCTTATGAACCAGAATTAAATCTTACAACGCATTCCGTACCCTTGTACATTTTTTTCGAAGGAGTTAAGAGATATCAGTTACCCAGTTAATTTACCATATTACATAAATGTTTCTACTAAACACATGCACGTGTATATGTAAATATATATATTCGTTTCTCTTTTTTTCTTCTTTCCTATCTATTGTGTCTCTAATTATTTCACTTAAATGAATTTTAAAAAAGCCGCTGTTATTTTATTAACTTTATTGACAACTGGTGAACATAACAATTTACTCAAATCGGAAAATTTGAAAGTGAAATAGTTTCGAACAATTCTGAAAGAACGTATTGTAAATGAAACAGTACCAATATAAAAAATATACGATGAAGAAATTGTCAAAGCGCATTTCGCAGCAGAAACTCTTGCATCTGTTCTATTGGTTCACAAGATACGTATGTTTATAATCTTTCAATTTTCGAACATGTTTTTATACTTTCTTTTTTTAGAACCAGGATCAAATCAGGCTTGAAGAAATATAACTACTACATTGCCTACACCTAGTTCGTTTGATATTCCTTATGGTTATGAAAGTAAAAATCCTGGCGAAACTTTCTTAATTTGTGATAAATTGGTTTCCCGTAAAAAAAGAATGTTAATTTTTGCTAGTCCAAAATAATTACGATTATTATTCGATAGCGCTACAATTTTTATGGATGGAACATTTTTAACAACACCACCACTTTTCAATCAAGTTTTTACTATTCATTCTTTGAAATTCGATTGAGGTACGGTATACATCTGATTTCATAAACATTCAATTAAATTTTCTGTTTTTTCAGATTTACTATGTGTCTTTGCACTTTTACCTGATAGAAAGAAAGCAACGTATCAACTACTATTTCAAGAATCAAATGTTGTAGCTGTACCTATGGGTTGAACTTGGAAGCCTCAACAAATCATGACAGACTTTGAAATCAGTTTAATTCCAGCAATATCAGATTGATGATAATAGAGTATCTAATATTTTCATCACAAAAACTTATGCTATATTGAGAACTCATAGTGGATGTGGGTGAAAGTGAATGAAGAGAGACTATCCACACCCATCCTAGTTTCAAAACTAGCTGACAACAAGCAAAACAAAATTATAAAGAATAGCAGCAGAAGTTCAAGTGAATTCAATCCATCGATAACTTTTTAAATTTTTTTGTTATCCATTTAGTTTCGATATGATATAATATACGCCTTGCAGGCAGCCGAATTAGAAAAGGAAACAATGAAAGTACGACAACAATTGATCGAACAGCAAGAAGAAGCAAGGGCTTGCACAAATCCTCAACAACAAGCTGTTTGTGCTGCAGTTGTTTCACGAACACTTGATGACGTATTGGACACCGGAAAAAAAATGGCGTAACAAGCTAAAGGCTGACGAAAAAAAAGGTAAGTGTTAATAATCAAGGTTTCTTATTTCTTTACATTATTATTCCCTGCAATGATATCATCAATGATTAAGAAGAGGAAGAGAGAGAATGAAAGAATATATCTAGTTGTATGCAGTAGTATCGTTTAATAATTGAGAAACATATGAAGAATTGCCAAAACTTAGATATTATTTCTGTGCTACATCGTAGCAGTTATACAATTAAGCATTTAATTCGTCACGATATTAACTGCATTACAAATAAATAAAAAACAACTAATGTATCTAAATACGTATATATCTCGATAATCTCAGTTTCGATTTAAGCATGTAAATAGATTGAAAGCGACTACATAGTAATAATAGATCAAGATGCATTAAATCATGATAAGAGCCGACAATTGATTAATATATAATAACAGATCAGAACTCATCAGAGTATCTTTTCAAAAATAAACACAAACTTTGAATTATCAGAAATGAATTAAAATCGATTTTGGTTCATTTAAAAGTCTAACTATAAGTGGACTAAAACTGCATCATTTTTATTGATGTTGCTCGTATAGGGACTCAATTAAGATTACATTGTCTTTTTCTTCCCTTTCTTTCATATGGAAAGAGAGAGTGATAATACGATTATCGGTATAATTTTTTTTAGTTCAACTACAACAAAAAAACAAACGCAACGCAAAATAATAATTATTTAAATAAATGTGGTTTTCACATTTTTTTCTCTTCTCAGGTAGATGATTCCGGATGGAAGCGAACAGAATTACTGCTTACATGAAATCTCCGGAATGTCACGGAACCGGACGTTTCCGTGCCGGATTGTTCGACCTGGCTTGTTTAGTACTTCTACAAGATTTTCTTTTTCTCTTTTTTAGTACTTGTACAAAGTATTTTTTTGTTCTTGTGAGAACCTTTATCTTTTTTTAAATAAAATCATTTCGTTGAATTAGTTCTTTGAATAACATGAATACAAACATCTTTTAATTGATAAAATTTCTCAGAATTACGAATAAAGAAAAACTGAAATTGAAATGGTTATATAATCAACCTTGAGGGTGTGGATGTCTCTTATCAATCTAGACTCACAACCACCCTCAGGATCACCGATTATCTGTGGTCCACTAGCTTTCATGTCTAAAGCAATTTGTCAGTTGGGGATCATTCCTTATAAGTATACCTCTACTTAAGTAAAAAGTATGAAAAGTACCAGGTATTGCACTAAGTATTCTGTCCCTGATTATAATCAGTAGAGCTCACTGTAATATTCCAAGATACCATTTAAATTCTTTGGATTAAGTTCAAATAATATCTTACGACGATTAAAGACGAAGAAGAACGAATGAATGTATTGCCTGTATATCTAAACGAATACGAAAAACGGAATAAAACAATGAGAAGTAGCCTATCTTATATTCCCTTTATTTCTGTAATCACCGATTCATTGGTCGTTTTTGCTTTACCTTAACGGAAAAAAAAGCAGTCCAGCAGAGAGAGTCACGTATAATCAATAATATTTTTTGGTAGTGCGCATAATGAATGGACGTGGGTATGGATGAGAAAGAAAAAGTCCCACTCACACCATCAATTGAAAAAAAATCCAACGGCAATATTGCATTGAGAATAAAAGATTTCGACCTGAAATTATTCCTATATATAAGTCTCATGATTCTTAGAATATCCGTAGAGCTTCAATGCGAAGACATGTTTCCTTCTTGAAATAGTTAATTCTCAAGAAAACTCGATTTATGACCGTTCTACCAAATATGACTATTTCTTGCAACTTTTTATGTTGGAAAGGAAACATCCGTGTACGCTGAAATTTTTAGAGTATTCTAAGAATCATGAGATGTATTTATGGAAAAAAAAGGTCGGTAGAAATTCTATCATTCACAATTTGAATTCTTGGACTTTCAAAGTCCCAAAATCCGCTTTTTCTCCCTTGCACAATTATCACACACGCTTGTTTTTCTTTCCTTTTAACAAGACTTTCCACGTGTTATTTATTTATAGATAAGTCAACATTACAATTTTATCATCATTATGTCAATAAAAACACTTTCAACGGATTATTTTTAACATGGGGACTGCAGCAAGTATTCAATCAACAACATGGTTTGATAGATTACCTACTGAAATTATTTTTACAATATTTGATTATTTATCAAAAAAGGATATCATTTATACATTTCTCTTTTTCAGTCAACGACTTAACAATTTATTATTACGAAATCAACATTATATAAATCATTTACAACTACCAACAAAGAATTTTGATACATGGAAAAATATTCTTTCAGTTATTGGACCTCGAATAGAATCATTAGACATAACTTCAATTGATTTATCTATTCCATTAGAATATTTTTTAAATCTAAAATCGATAATTATTTCCACACCTTATGGTCTCCCAAATGATCAAATGAAATTAATCTTTGAAAGTAAATCCTTTACACAACTACATTCGTTCAAAGTAAAAGAAAATCTAATATATCCCACCCAATCATTTCTTTCCCGTTCAATCAATCAAGATAATGTATTAAGGAAAGTTTTCAATAATAAAAGTGTATTACAAAAATTTTATTATCCACGGTTTATAAAATATGCTAAAAATAATTTAACCAGTTATGAAATTAATTTAAATTTACATTCATTAAAACTGATTTTGAATGAGTTTCGAGATATATTTTCATTAATTTTATATACACCAAATTTAGAATATTTAAATATTACTACAGAATTAAGCGGTACTTTTATAAAACCAATCGAGAAAAGTAACATCAACTTAAAACAATTTTATTTAACCTTAAAACGATCTCTTTATCGAAACAATTTGAATGAATTAATCAATGGAATAAAATACTTTTCACCATCATTAACTTGTTTATCACTCAATTTAATTGATTGCACTGACATAAGGGAAAATGAAATTCCATTTAATAGTGTAAAACTTCAACAATTATTGGAATCAATGATCGAGTTAAAGCAATTTCATCTTTATGCTACGTTAAATGTGTATGATTCTTCTCGTAACATTTTATCTCAATTTCAAGATCGATATTGGTTTGATCATAAGTGGACATTTGGAACGCATGGAACATATTTTTATACATTACCATTTCATTTCGAGTACCTTCATAATTTTTGTGGTTTTGATAATATCAAATCTTCGAATTCTGAAGTTCTACTAACTAATCCTCAAATATGGTATACTGTTAAATATATTGATTTGTATTATAGATCAACATATGATATTAACTTTCTGAAAGAACTCAAAATGGAAATGCCTAAATTAATTTTTATCAAACATCGTTCATTCTACAAGAAAAATAAGGATGAAAAAGAAACTGAAGATTTGTACGTAGATGAAAATGAAGAAGTGAAAAATCATATAACATTATATAATATGACGACTATTCAATTTGATCATGGATCAATTGAAAATAGAAAAAAATGGTTAATTAATGCATTACCTAACTTAAATCATCTGATTTTATCTACTATTGATTTACCTTCTCCAGATAGTCAATCAGCTGATCTACTTAATAAAAGAATTCGACGATTAGATATTAATACAACAAATTCTTCACTTAAACAATTAACAGAAATAAGTTATGTTTATTTTTCAAATGTTGAACATACATATTTTGAATTGTTCTATGATCCACAGAGAAGATCTCAATGGTATACAGATATTGTTAAAAAAATCTTGAAGAATTTCAAAAGTTTAGAAAGATTAATAATTCGTAGTTTTCCAGAGAATGGAAATATCAGCAATGCTATGACAAGAGATTTGACCAACATTCTTGAATGTTACGATATGATAGAAATTAAGAAAAACTTTCAAATGAAACAGTTTGGGGAATGGATCTTATTTTCAAAAAATGGATGGGATAATAGCAAGGTTCAGAGTGGTACACTCTCATCCATTTTAAGAAAATTCAAATTTTTTAAATTAAGAAAATCTTAAAATAATTATATGCTTCTATCTAACCAAGATATTCAATTGATTGCCAATTTTATTTAAATATACCAAATAAAATTAAAAGATACTGCTGTTTTTCAAAATAATTGTTTAAATCTAATGCGGGAAGGGGGTGACGGTGTGGGTACCTCTTGTTGATGTAAATTCACACCCACACCTTCACCCACGCCTCGTTTATATTTCGGGCATGACTTGATTGTTTCCTGTTCTTGGCTGCTTCCATACATTAGAATAGATCTTGAATAAGACGTGAAGAAATTGTTTCCGGAAACGTTCTGATACACAAATATAAATATAGAAAGGGCTCTAGAATAAAATAATTATAATGAAAGCGTAATTAAAAGTTCATTGATACTTACTGAAAAATATGCGTAGTAAAAAGGATTAATTATAGTCAAAGCAAATTGAAGTTTTTCTTGAATATTTGAATCATTAGCAAGATTTGGATTTGTAGTAATTGCATTTATAGTTGTATATGGTAGTAAAGTAAAGATATTGACAATAACTTGTACTAAAACCATAGTTGTTAATTGTTTATCTAATTCACGTCGTATGAGTGGAATAGTACGATGAGACATCTGTTGTAAATTATGATAAGCTAATAATCCAAATAAAGATGCAATAATCATTGGTAAATATCCGATTAAAACAACAATAAAAAAATTATTACGATAATTATTAAATATTGAATTAACACTAACACAAGAAGTTTGATTTGTCGAAGATGATAGAACATCATTAAAATATATTAAATATGGAATTCCATGTAATATCCAAATAAGAGTACTTATAAGTACTAGACGATACGCTAATTTAATTTTACATAATTGTTGCCAGTGAACCCGAGAGCAAGTTGCTAAATATTGATCAATTGTTGCCAAACAGAGACATGTTAATGATAACCCTGAACATAATTGAGAAATATATATTCGAAATTTACAAAAAAATAATGATATTGCTGTTAAATCTACACCTATCAGAGCATTTATAATACGTAAACTAAAATAACCACAAAATAATTGACCAATATTAAGAATAGACATAATAATTAAATAAAATGCACATGAACTTTGTCGAAATGTATGAAGACTAAGAAATACGATAAGATTTAATATTCCTCCTACAATACCACTAATAAAAACTGGCATTCCCAAATATATCGTAACTTGTTTTCCAATAGTAGTCAATATCGTTGACATGTTTAATAAGAAAGTAAAACTAGACGAATGAATAATAATCTTATCATTCTTTTCTATTTCAATAGAATAAATTTAAAAAGTTCGAATAGTTGATTAAGTGCGTTCACAACTATAATCATCTGACTTCATTAGAATGCATTATGTACTCATAAATTATCTATATTGAATCTCATTTTTCTATGGATTTTAAATAAAATGTATCCTGCTGTTTCTTTAAAACAACTAATTCATGATGATGATCATATTCTTTCTGAGTCGCTGCTCTGATGAAAATGTTATTCAAATATGTACTTGCAGTACAGACTTTGAGTGTAATGATGTTTTTTTTTCTTATAAAATACAATCAGACATGATACACCTTCGGGCGAAATATATGATTTAATATTTTGAACAAAAACTTTTTTTTGTTAATTACAAGTCTACAGAAGAAAACAGTAGAAATTTCAATTAAAAGTTACAAATTATTTTTTTTACATATACAAAATTTATATTATCAAACTTATAGCTATGTCATTAAGAATAGTTGGAAGAAGAAAAAAATTCCATGAAAAAAAACCCAGAATGATGTTTAGAGAAAATTGTAATTGCACAACATACACGTTATATTTAAAAGAATGAAAAAATAAAAATAACATTTCTCATTTTTTTTCTTTCTTTCTTCCATGCATTAGCATTTTGAAACACGAGCAATCTTTTTTTGCAACAACAAAAAACACAATATGGCACACGAAATAAGGTATCATAGTTTTTAAATTTTATTAATTAGTTTTAATTTGTGAGTTGCTACTATTTTAGTGAACGTCATTATGACGATTGGGAGTCAACAGTTTATTGTTCGTTGAAAAATGTCTTTACACCCTCTATTGGTCGTATCGTTGGTGATAATCTTCGAAGAATATTAGGTATTACTCATATTAGTGGAGATGAAATGGCTCAACAAACTCCATCATATGATTTTACATGTACACGTAGACAAGCAAATTGTATTCGTGATCGTCTTGTAGAGGTCACTACTAAAGCATACTTACACATTTGGTTTTCAATGCAATCAGATCCATTTCATTATATCTATAATAGACGTTCAATGTTAGCAGATGATCCAACTAAAGTCAATGTTTATCCAGTACAGTCTCATTTTGGTTCAATGTATACGCATAGTACTTTTAATATACATAGTGAAGAACATCCTCCTTTTTATGATCTTTGCATATTGAAATGGAAAAATGAACCTGAAACAATACGTATTATGTCAAAAGATAAATCAAAACAAATATTTCTACCAATTAAATGGATACAGAAACCGATACTTATTAATACAAAAGATCGACCATGTGTTGTTTTAATGTTAAAATATTCTGTAAAAATGAAAAGAAAAGTTTCAGACAATGGTCAATTTCGATATGAAAGGTAATCTAAATGCATTTTTATTGTAAGGGTATGGGTGTGGGTGGTCTCTCTTCATTCGCCACCACCACTCACACACACACCCGTCCACCCAAAACCAAACCCACATCCCACACCCTCAACTTTGATGATAAATCTGTTTGTTTTTATTTAGAGTATGTAATATGAATGATGGTGGATTTGAAAAAATTGTATCAAAAAGTTCGGATATTCTACTTACATTCCATGATCCAAGTCATACGTATGCATTTCTCGAAGAACTAACTAAAGAAACAGATGAATATCATGATAAATTTACGATAAATTTTGTTACACTTGAAAAAGAATTTATAAAAGAGAATAAACAACTGTTTGTTTTACCACCATCAGCATCTCATAAACAACAATATGCATTGAAAATGCTTTATTCTCTTGGTTATTTATTTCAAGATAAATATGGTGGACAACGTCATAGTGAATTTATTGATTATATTAAGAACGATTCATTTAATGATATGTGTTATTATCTTAAAGAAAAACTTGAAGAAAATCATTGTTACAAAGTAAAACGTATTTTTATTGATTTTGAAGCTTATATGAAAGAAAAGCGTAAAGAAGAAAAGCCACTTAATGTAAAAAAACCGACATATTGTTTTGGTTGTATTTCAATAACACCATTACGAATTCTTTATCAAAAAATGGAAACATCTATTGGAAATCGTGCATTAAGAATGCCACAATTAAGTGGTGAAGATAATTTTTTATTAATACATATTCGAGAAGAAGATAATAAAATATTAAAAGATTTTGATGAATCAGTTACATGTCGACTTAAATCAAAAATGTTAAATGGAATTAAAGCTATGAATAAAACATATCGTCTATTTGGTACATCAACAAGTCAATTAAAAGAAATGTCATTTTGGTTTCTTGCTAATTCAGAAAATAAAAGTATTGAAGAATTATGGAGAGTTTTAGGTGATTTTTCAAGTATTAAAAATGTTGCTAATTATGTTGCTCGAATTGGTCTCTATTTTTCAACATCAAATGAAACTGACGTAAGAAGATTTTTTTATTAAAACATAGAACCTTTTTTTATCATTATTATTTCAACAGATTTCATTTAAATATATTGAAAACGCGGCATCAAATGAAAATTTTCTAGCAACAATGATCGATGATGTTGAAACGGACAATAAGAAATATTGTTTTACTGATGGTATTGGAAAAATGTCATGGGGTGTCGCTGGTTTAGTTGCAATAAAATTAGGTATTCCATTACAATCAAGATATGATATACCATCAGCTTATCAAGTTCGTATAGCTGGTTGTAAAGGCATGCTAGCTATTGATCCAGAATCTAAATTAGATCAATATTATATTAAAGTTAGACCTTCAATGGAAAAATTTAAATCTCAACATTGGATTTTAGAAATATGTGAACATAGTAAACCATGTAAGTTTGTTGTTTTAATTGTTAAATAGAATTATAAGAAAAAAATTTGTTTTTTGTTATTTATAGTAGAATTAAAATTTAATAATCAAGTTATTATGTTATTATCCGATTTGGGAAATAGAGATGCAGTTTTTATGTCATATCAAAATGAAGCTTTAGGGACTTTATCACAACAAAATCAGAATGAACAATTAAGAAAATTAAAATATTCATGTACGAAAGATGATTTATTAAAAAATAGAATACCATTACCATTAAATGAAGCACGAAATATGTTTGGAGTTGTGGATGAAACTGGTATGTTAGAATATGGTCAAGTTTTTATTCAATATAAAGATCTTGATTCAACAAATGAATATCCATATAATGTTGTAGAAGGTAAATAAATAGATTCTCAATTAATTATTTTATTCGATTTCAATATCTAGGAGAAGTATTAGTAGCAAAAATGCCTTGTTTACATCCTGGTGATTTTCGAAAATTTACTGCTATTAATGTTCCTGCATTGAAAGCATGTATACGCGATTGTATTGTCTTTCCAAAAAAAGGACCACGACCACATCCAAATGAAATGTCTGGATCTGATTTAGATGGAGATCAATATTGGGTAAATTATCATAAACTTGTATGAAATTTCGATTTAATATGTTTTTATCATATAGGTCTATTGGGGTAATCGACTAAGAATTACAGCTATGGATGAACCATTATCATATGAACCTTCAGCAAAGAAAAAAGTGCCAAATATTACGAATGAAATTGTAATCGATCATATTATTGAATCATTTGGTGCTGCAAGTCAAGGAATAATTTGTGATGTTCACTTAGCTATTGCAGATTCTCATAAGGATCGTACAAGATCGAAGGAATGTAAAGATTTAGCTGAATTATTTGCACGTGCCGTGGATGCACCAAAAACAGGTGAAATTATTGATTTAAGAAAAGTTTATGGATTAAGAACACGATATTGTCGAGCTTATCCACAATTTATGAAGAAATACGATCAACCAATATGTGATTCAAACAGTATTTTGAATAAATTATTTCTAGTAGCTAGACATCATTTATTTTCACAACGTCCTTCATCATTAAATTCGGTACAAACTTCATCAAGTGGCTTAAAAAGTTCGATAAAAGGAAAAGCTGGAACAACCACACAGGATCAAGAATTTCAAAAATGGCTTTCATCTCATAATACTAATGAAACACAATCTACTTTAAAAAACAGTAGTACAAAGGAAAAACTATCCAAAAGTATGGATGGTAATCCTAGCAAAATTGCCGAAACAAAATCTTCGTCATCATTAATTGAACAATCAACAGTCGCACCGAAGAAACAGACAAAAAAATCTACAATAAAAAATGATGAAGAGATAGAACATGACACTTCAGAAACATCTTCAATCAAAGGAAAGAAGATTTCCACTGATTCGGAACAATCAACTGCCACATCTGCTAAACCAACAAAAAAAATTACATCGAAAAAAAGTGACAAAACAGATTCAGAATCTTCTGAAATACTGTCAACTAAAGGAAAGAAAAGTGCAGTGGTATCTAAAGAACCGTTGTACAACTCTAGTCTATCTATTGATTCTGATTCATCATCTGTTACTCCAAAACCATCACTAACTGCGTCAGCAGTGTCTGAGAATAATGTTAATCGAAATATTATTTTTAATGGTATGACAACAGTAACCAATCGAATTCAATGGGAACCATCTAATAATAATTGTTTTACCGTCGATTTAGATGCAAAAAAATCTGGAGATAATAATGCTTCAGATAAACTAGTTCAACTTTTACTTGATTCGGCAAAAACAATCTTTTCTTCGAATTCTAAATTCACATTTATCACATCATGGGGTGAACTTTTTCTAAAATTTATACAATCAATCGATCAAACAAAACCCAAAAATATTAAAGAACTCACTCAACTTATCAAAGAAACTAATGATGTGGAATTTTTATTTGAAGAATCTACTGTTAAAACTATTACAAAAGACCGGGTATGTACAAAGAATTCTTCACTAAATAGAAAAATATATGATTTTATTATTTCAGGATCCATCGAGTAAATCAACATCTCAATATGTTCTTACTTGTAAATGTTCTGATATTTCATCAAATGATATATCGCTTATATTTGATGATAAAAAAGTATTGAAAAAAATTTTGTTTACTTCAAAATGTTGGACTTGTGCTGTTAGAAGTGGTGAAAAACTTATCGATAATTTCTACGAGATTTATTCGACGTATAATGAAATCGATTCAAAACATGAATCATTTTCAAACTATCTGAAATCATTATTCATTGATCCCAGTAAAACAGATCTCTTATCAGGTACCAGTCCACGAGTTTCAGTTGACAGACAATTGTTAAAATCAACAGTAGAAATTATTTCGTTCAAACGATTAGTTCGATGCGAATTTGCTCTCTTAAATCAAATAAATTCAACTCGATTGCAATTTAAGACATTAGAAAATCTCGAGTGTATCTTCTATCAAGTCACACATATTTCCACGGAAACTGGAAATGGTAAAATTGAAACACGTGAAACTCTCCAATTTCATGCAACATCAATTCAAATTGCAAAGAAACATGAACAAGATTTAAAACAATTAGTTCAATTACTAAAAGACTATTTTTCTTAATTCAACTTAAAAAAAATATTTTTATTTTATTGACTATAAATAATCTAGATTTTTGAATGAAGTTTTAACAATATACAAGAGCACAAGAAAAATTTATACATCTAAAAGGGTGGATGTGGGTGAATGAAGACTACCTACACCCTCAAGATTTATATTAATATCGAAATATTAAAGTCATTGTTTGAGTTGGGCCAGCACAAGTCGTACTATTTATTCCGCCATAATCTTGATGATTAATACATGGTCGTAGAATATAACCAGGATTTGTACATTGACATGTCGAACCATTTGCACTTAATTCGTATCCATCTCCACATAAACCAACAACCCATGAATGAGAATTTGATGTAACTGGTCCGTATGCTGTTGACGTTCTTAAAGCTAGAGCAATATTTTCTATAATAGTTGAATTATTTGTCGATATACCAACTGGATCAAAAGTACCATACATTCTTAATAATGTATAAGATCGATTTGTTAATTGAGCTACAAAACTTGTCCAAGGTGGACACTGTGCTGTTGAAGCAACACCACTGGTAAAGTTTTGAGAATATATGATGTCAGTGAATGCTACTGTTGTGGTAGCAGTTGTACCTTAAATAGTAGAAAATATAATAATAGTTACTATCAGATAGTTATATATTGATAAAACACGAGACAGATTAATTGCCACACTCTTAATTGTTAAATATATCATAGAAGAAAAAGAAACTTATTCCTACTATTTGATGCACTCGTAGAATCTAAAAACAAATATATATATAAGTTGAAAATTTATTATGATTTATACTTGAATTTTGCCATATTGTTACAATTACGGCTAAACCAATACCTGATATTAAGAGCGCTAGAATTAATCCGATGAAACATGCTCTCCAGTTTGAACACTCAAATGTTCTGTGAATGTTAAATTTGAATATAAAGATTTACTTTATTAATAGTATATTATTCTACCTTTGTGATTCTGATTTAATATTCTGCGATATATCCCATGCATTTGATTTCGATTGAGATTGAAAATTCTGAATTGAATCATTTGAAGATCGTACTAATGGCAAAATACTTGGTCGGGACATTTGTGAAGAAAATTGAGTTCTTATGATTTAGTATTGTTCGAAAGAATGTGAACTCAATGCTATATATATTTAAACAATGAGAAATCATTTGATTTCTTTAACACTCTTTATTTTCAATTAATAAAATTCTATTCGATTGATTCGATATATTTTTGAGTGCAGTCATGATTATTAATACTATTGTAATCAAGTTCTATATAGAAAAAGAAGTAGTAAAAGTTCATCGTAATGGAATAAATTTTAGAATTTTTTGCATCAGATATATAATTGCTTTAACAAAAACGCAATACTAAATCAAACAATAATTATAATATCACGTGAAATATATCATCGTAATTAAAAACTGAAATGAAATACGTTAAAAAACTAATGATTAAATATCGAGTCTATTGAACAATGAATAAATAAACAATTTTCTCATTTTTGACAAGTTTGTTGATCTTTTCATTGTATGTTTTGCTTGTCTTTTAATAAATCCTTTTACATTTGAGCAAAATTCGTAATATTATACCTGATTTGTGATACTTTACCTGAAGGGTGTGGGTCTGAACATGAATATTATGTTTACAAAACACCCAAATGCATCCGCACATCCAGATTGTTGTCTCGATTATTTTCAAATTGATTAGAGATTGTAGTAAAACTAACTTTCAATTTTATAGGCGATCTGATAAAATCATAAGCAATAGAAACACGTATTATTTTCATTGAAATTAAAGTATGATAATGTGACGAATCAACATTGTTTTCATTCTATAGTGTGTTGAGAAAGAATGTCATCTACCGTTGCATTAATATATCACATCTATATGTTGTTCTTTTTCTTATTCACTCTTGCTTTTACCTTTACATGCTCTTCTAGTTCTCGCATACTGTTGACGAATTGATTCGTTATATATCACTCTTACTTTTATAGCTTTAGTTATCGATCATTTATATATGAAAACTCGAGATAAGTATATAAAATAGTAATATTATACTAGATTAGTAATTCATATCTATTTTGAAGAAAGAAAAACGACATTTTAAGTGTTTGAATACAAAATTAAGAGTATATAATGATATATCTGCTTATTGATAAGATTGCGGGCGTAATAGAAATAGCATTAAGAGGATATAAACATAGTATGTTGTCAAGTGCGCAAATATAAAATCGTTCGTTCTCATGCATAGACAAACAGATCGATACATGTTTCATATTATTAATCAAACGCTTTGTTACCGCTGCACGTCGCTTCGTCTTTTTTCTCTTTCGTATCCTCTTCTCTGAGGCAGTTTTTAGACGATGTTTTTTTTCATTTGACTACGTTATAAGCAGTTGAATAAAATAACCTTTTTTTCATTTTCTGTTAATTTTTCCTAGATTATTTTCTCATCATTCATATCTACTAGAAACGAATTTTCAATCTTGAAGGTATGGCAACTGCCAGAAAAATAAAAATATTATGCTCAACATGCCAAAAAGCAGCGGGTGTCTTAACCTGTCGAGGATGTAATAATGCATTTTGTTCTCGTGATGTTATTAAACATCGACAACAACTAAACAGACAAATGGATGAAGTAGGTGCCAGTCATGATCAGTTACAACAATTAATTGTCGAACACGAAGCACAACCTAAATGTCATCCTCTAATGGAGCGGATCGACAAATGGGAACAGGAATCAATTACTAAAATACATCAGGCAGCTGATGATGCTCGAAAACAAATCCTAACGATTATTGGTACGCATAGAGCTCAGGTGACAGATAATTTAGCAGTTCTTACTCAAGAATTAAGCAGAGCTCGTGATGAAGATGATTATGTCGAAACAGAGTTGAAGGAATGGATGGAAAAACTTGATCAATTGAAAATTGACTTAAATGCAGCTCAGACAGTATACTTCGACCAGAATGATAGTAAGACTTGATTAATCTCAAAAATCTATATCGACAACAGCTCTATTAGTCCCTTCTATCAAACTATGGGTACCGTTCAGATTACTGACGATCGAAAGATCATAACACATGGTTCACTAAATGGGTACGCTGTTGCTCGATGTAGACACGAATATTCATCAGGACAACATCGAGTTCGTTTTATAATCGAGAAACTATCTTCAAATAACAGTTTTTCATGCGGTATTGTGTCAAAAAGTACACCTATAGAATCAAATTTTAACAAGGTAGCAGCTAACTATAATACACTTGGATACCAACAGTCTATGCACCATTGTCAGTCTAATTGGTATCACACTTATAATATTCTTAATCAGGATCATGTTTGTTTCTTTCATGGACATAATTATAATTTTCAACAATACAATGTTTATGAGTTGTTAATCGATTGCGATCAACGAAAACTGCGTTTAACAAACGAACAAACACATCAAACACAGGAAACTAATACGGCTCAATGTGCGTTTCCGTGGCAATTTTTCATTACCCTTTTCTTTGCAAATGATCGTGTATGTCTCTGCTGACAAATTATCTTAAAAAACTGTAACAAATTCACTTTTAGTGCAGGCTCGTGAGTGTTTGCTTTAATCTTCGTAATATTGTTTAGTTATCTTTGCTTTCTTACTTATATCGTACATGAAGTTTTTAAATACTCATTCTGTAAATCCATTAATCTAATAAAATATTTTAACATTGATTGAAGGTGTGGGTGTGGATGTGGATGCGGGTATGCAAAGGAGAAGAGCACAACACTCGCACCCACCCAAACCGACACCCTCAAGATGGAAGTTTTGTATTTGTTGGCAATACCACTGCTGATGAAATGGCTTCTGCAAATGTAACTGATTATGAAGATAACATGAAAGAAAAGTTATTTCAGTGAAAAATCATCGTAATCACTCATAATTTAGAACGACATAACATTTCAATTAAGAAATTCTCATAAGAGTAATAGTTATTCTTTTCTACAATAGATATAATGTCATCAATTTTTTTTTAATATGTATGTAGCATTCGAAATAAATAATTCAGCGAAAGTGGAGTTTGTAGTTTCATTTTTTTGTAGAAACATAGAAGTAAAAATAGATTGAAAATTTTAAGTAAGCGTTTTCAGTTTGGTTAATGATGCAACAAGCGGATCAGAGCTAGTTTCTATAAAAAAAAACACCTAGAACCAACAGTTAACATTCTGAGAATGTGGGTGTCGGCTAACATATCTATGCTGCGATACCCACACCCATATTCTTTTGTCTTATCAATAATCTTCATCATTGTGAACGTCGTTGACAAATTTTGATAGCGTCTTTGAATTCTTTACTGTATAAATCTGAAGGTAATACAAAAATGATAAACATGAGCATTGATGGTACGAATGATACAAAGTAACCAACAAGATATAACCATGGATTTCGGGATGATTTGATACATGTTGATAATAGAGAAATAATCAGACGTGGTAACGATAAGATGACTAGAGCCAGTGGACCGATTAGGATCTGCTTATGTTCAACCAATTGTTTAAAAAGATGTTGTTGATGGGTAAATTGTGGTTGAGCAGCATGTCGCTGACGTGTAGTTATCAGAATGATGAAGAAAGCCGAAAATAAATTGGTGATGAAAGGTATGAGAAAATGAACAAGAATAATTGTTGAGTTGTAATTTTGTACAAATCGTGAATAATGCGTGACACACCAAGTACGTTGTTCTTCCTCATCATCATACAAATCTCGATATAGAGGTTCATGTATAATAGTAGTCATAATTATGATTGGTAGAACCAAGATTGTCCATTTCGCAATTTTCTTACTCTTTATTTTATTAAAACTGATTCCGATGACAGCCGCATAAGCTCGTTCGATTGCGACACATCCATAAAGCCAATTATCCGTATATATGAAGAATTTCAGGAAAAATTCTATCAACTTACAGCCCAACTGAAGAATCGTTCGATTGATGATTAAATCGATTTGTGATAGAATCAGAAACCAGAATTTGACTATAAATATGATCATAATAAGAATTGAAGTGATCGATGATGCAAATAAGTACATGCCACACCCAACTTGCTGTGATCGTTCTCGACGAAAGGTCAAATAGGATAAAATTCCATTGACCAAGCCCAGCACGAACATGAACATTGTCACTATAGCACTCATTTTTATTGACACTCGTTGTTGAGACAATGAGAAATTACGTCGAAGTTCATAACGGAGAATATCATCAAGTGTCAAACCAAAACCTTTAGCATAGAACTGACATCGCGTACCGAAATAACAATCGGTACAGATGCATATAGTACCAGACGGACAAGTGATATCATCTTGAAAACATGATGCACCATTGTCACAGAAATCGTTGTGTTTGCAGGCATATGATAGTTGATGATCGAATTTAATACAATTCGTATGATTGTCTGATGTACACACACACATGTAGATTTCATCGAAAAAGCACCACAAATCTAAACGAGTTTGACATGGTAGATGATAGTATTTTACGCGTCGGATACGTGGTAATCTTAACAGAGTCAAATTGAATAGTTCATTGATACGTAAACAACGCTGATTAGGAGTAATCGATGTTAAGATACTTTCATGATACATAGATGTATCCTGTACTACAGCTAAATAATAATCAGATGAGTGTTTGATAAATGCCATATGAATGAAATCTTCACTATATAATGTAACGACGTGTTGATCGTGAATTAATTTTTTGATGACAGTTGCAATAACCCATGAATTGACTGGTCGTAGAGAAATAATATAGCTCAGAATGTATGATGGAACTTCCATATTACTGAAAACAATCTCTAATTTCTTCTTTTCATGCTCACAAAAAGTGCCGTAAAATCGATCGAAACAGTTGCAAAAGTATCGGTCATCGTTGATATGGTCGTTGAGTAATACATACTGACCATTATTGTAACACTTATCTGCTGGATGAAGAGATGGTATGAGACAACGTGGACCGATTTTGTTATTAGGGCATACACATATCGGTCGATTGTTCCATGAGCCTACGCATGCTGAATCATTTGAACAATCATTACAATCAACAGGTATATCACAAAATGTGCCCGTCCAGTTCGAAGAACAGTGACAAAAAAGCTTTTCTACATTGACATATTGCATGCATTCGCCGCCGTTCTTACATATCAAATGACAAGTTTTGAAACTTCGAGTGCTTTGAAATGGTATAATCAGATTTGTAGCTATCCGATTCACGGGTAGAAAACTAAATGGAATCAATAGATGCCAACTCGCATGGTATGTTAGTGTATATTTGTCAAAGACATCGATATGTATGCTGTAGTTCTTCGATATATCTTTAGGTCGAGTGGAATACAACAGATAGATATTGAATTTCTTCAAGCAACCTGTTTTGGTTATGAATGAAAACTGATCGTAAGAGTTAACCTGACCATATTCATCAATCAACAACACCACAAACGCATAAAAACTGCGTCGACTAACAGGCAGCAAACGCAATGTCAAACTAACGCGTTGATTTTGATACTCACATAGATCACCATAGTAATTTGGTGGACAAAAGCATTGGTTGATGAGGGTGTCACCACCTTGCCAGGCAACAACACTCAGTCCATGAGGACAATGACGTATCCATCCTATGGTCTCGGGGATAAACTGAGTGTTTTTCATAAAAGACTGATGTTTGACTTGCTGTTGATTGAATTGAACAGCAGAAAGAGATTCTTCTAATAGAGGATAGATGCGAGCGGTCTTCAGTGAGAAGTATTCAATTGCGTTTTTGTTCTCTGCTAATGGACAGAATATCTCTCTTGCTTCATCAATACTATCCAAACTATCCAGACATATCTTCTTATGACAAAAGTTTTCATGAACCGGTGAAGGACAACTTCTGAAGTGATCACATAATTGATCAGGAGATATGCAATCAGTAACGTTCCAGCAGTGATCATTTGCGTCGACATGCGATATGTAACAATACTGAAGTTCATCTGTTGCTCCAAGACAATCGATAATATTATCAGCGACTTGATCCATTAATAAACAGATTATTGTATAATTTATGGGTGAGATACATGGATAAAGATTTAAAGGACACTTAGTGTCCAGACAATCATACTCGTCGTGACCATCCGGACAAGCCTTAAAACTGTCACATCTCGTGTAGATGTTACTACATGGCCAATGCTGACATTCTGTTTCATCACTATGACTTTGTCCATCGATTTCTTGAGGTAAAAGATGAACAACTCCATCACAAATGTTTTGGAAAAGTATTTTATTTAAGTTTAGTTTCTGGTTAAATACAGTGCAAGAATTAGGATCGACTGATGGCGACCAACACGTTGTATCTTGATCGGAGCATTTGAAACGATGCATATCTTGTAAAGAACAGCTCAGTTTATAGTTTTCATCATCGCCCATCGAACAATCTCGTACACGATCCATGAGACGATGTTTCGAAATACATTTTGATGAATTCTTGCAGCAATAGAGCGATGAATGTTGTCTGTATTGTTCATCATTGGACATTATATACGGAGCTGCACAAGGACGAAAATAATTGCTTAAAGATAGTAAAAACTCATCATAACCAAGATCAGCATCTACGGGTATTTGTTGACGATGGCGACAAGTTAAGTTTTGATAGTGAAATGTAGATGAAATAAAATCACATAACTGTGCGTCATAACAAATGTAATCAGGGAGTATAAGATTTATGCCCGCTTGTATTAGTTTCGATTGATTGTTATCGTACAGAAAACGTACATGTCCATAGAGGACAGGAATAGTTGGAAATTGAAATAATGATTCACAGATGAACAGATCAGAGTTATTGGCGTTCGATAAAACAGACAGATTTGCACATGATTCTCCATTAATCTTATCGATCATTAGCGTATGACAAATCATAAATAACGAACAATTGTGAGACAAATTTCCTTTTGCTTTCATGGCTGTTTTTACTAAGTTGTTTCGTCCATTTACACATGACTTCTTAAAATTATTAACACACTGTCCATCAGCACAAGAAAAGCTCATGTCATTGGATCGACAAACTTGATCTTCGCATCGAAATCTTGGATCTTTGGAACAAAAGCTAAAAGATGATCTACTAGTTGGTTCATCAGAACGATCGAGACAATCTGGATGTTGTGCGTCATCTTTGTAGAAATTTAAGGGAATACACAAGCCATTATGACATCGATATTCATCATCAGCACATTCGTTTATTTCTAGAAGGAAACATTGTGCTTCATCGGCACCGTCATCAATACAATCGATTTGACCATTGCATATTTCACGCCAATCAAGACACATAGGTGATCCGCGATCACATGTCAAATGAACGTAACATGATGACTCTCTGTTAGTATTAATCATGTCTTTAACATACCAGTCATTTGTCCTGTAGAAACTTTCCTTTGGGTGATCATCTGTGTCGATTAATATATGAGCAGCCGCGTACTCACATCGAAGACCAAACCACGGATCTTTGCATCGATAGAATATTTCTTTTGATGATGGATCATCAATGGTCGATTGTTCAATGTAAAGGAAATATCGTTCAGCAAGATCCACGGGAGCGTTCCATGAAATTAAGTGATCAATAGTAATATTTGACTGACGCAATTGTTTAAATGTATAGTTTTTAATATGTTGATGTTGATTGGGAAAACTAAGACGCGGTATACTGGTTTCATTCAGAGGACGACGACAATACTTAAGAATCTGACTTGTATTAGTCCGTAGCAACTCATAAGAATCTGTCCAATTAGCTACATAATAATACAAGCAATCAAATTGTAATTGTCCATTACCGACCTTTCGATCTGTTTCATATAGATTTAAACTCGAATAAACCATTGGCCATAGCATTAAAACTATTAGATAAATCATCGTCTATCTTTGTATTACTCTTTTTTTTGTCTGACATGCATTTTAATATCTATCACACACACAGAGATTATTGACGAACATGTTTTGATTTGTTTTATTCTCGTCAGCTTTAGTAACACGTACAGACCTTGAGAATATGACACTCGTTTGATGAGAAATCACAAGCTATCTCAAACATGTCATGAAATATGATGCTCGTTTAAATTGTTTCATAATTTTTTTTCTATCTAGAAAAAGTTCCGATAAGGGTGTGGGTGAATGGGTGTGGATGTTGGATATAGATGCGGTTGTGAGAGATGCCTGTAATCGCACCCACACCCTTAAATAGTACTGGTATAGTATTTCGCGTACATGTAACACTTCGTTTTTATTTATCGCAATAATGGTTTTAATATCAATATCGGATTTTGTTGGTTCAGGTTCCTAGAATCCGATCAGAGACCTACTATCGGAGATCAACGGTTCAAGTTAGAAGGATCAGATCGGATCTGTAATCCTACGGAACCCAATATGATTCCATCACCAGAAATCCGATAAAAAACTATAGGAATCTGCAGGATAAGACTGGTAAACCTGGGTAGTGTTTAGCCTCATGTCCATATATTTTATTTATCCATCCTTGTTAGATGCTGTTTATCTATCCTCCAAATATTTCGCTTATCTATTCTTTATGTATATATAATGTTATCCTTCATGTCCCTTGCGCTCAGACCTTGTCTATCGCTGTGTATGGCGAAGGACAGTCGATACATATAAAAAGACGAGCAGAGAACGTAAAAAGCAGTTAAAATTAGTATCATTATATGGTGTGTTTAGTTTATCGTAGGACGTTTGAAAACGACATCCTATTTAAATAAAGATTGTTACCATTACTATCATCGTTCATATTCATTACATCTCGAATTTATTAAATATTTACAAAGAAAAAAAAACTTCATCAAGATGCTGTGTTGTTTGTCTGCTAAAGCACGTGAACAGAAACAAAGAAATCGAGAAATTGAAAAACAATTACTTCTTGATAAAAAAAATCAACGACGAGAATTGATATTCCTGTTATTTGGTACAAAACTTCGATTTTTTATTTTGTTTCAAAATAAACAAATTTTTTTTTCTTAAATAGGTGCTGAAGGATCTGGTAAATCAACACTTATGAAACAAATGCGTATTATTTATGGTACAGGTTATTCCGAAGAAGATAAACGTTCATTTGTTAAATTTGTTTATCAAAATATATTCATGGCAGTGCAATCAATGATTCGTGCTATGGATACGCTCAAAATACAATACAGAGATAAAAGAAATGAGGTTGCATCTATTTTAACTATTCTCATTTGTTTTTTTTTTGGTTATTTGTTTTAGCAAAAACATGCTCCACTTGTCCGTTCAGTTGATTATACAACTGTGACAATATTAGAACCTCAATATTTTGAAGCTATTAAAAGTCTTTGGAGTGATCCAGGAATAAAAGAGTGCTATGATAGACGAAGAGAATATCAATTAATAGATTCAGCTAAATAGTAAAAATCAGTTTTCTTAATAAAATAAATAAATCAAAGAATTCTTCATGTTAAGTTACTTGGATAGCATCGATCGAATTGCTGCGCCATATTATTTATCAACTGAACAAGATATCCTATGTGCTCGAATCCTTATTAATGGAATTACTGAATATTTATTTGATTTTGAAAATATTACTTTCCGGTAAATAAAAAAAATACTTTTAATAAAAAATAAGTTCATTTATTAAAATAGAATTATTAAAAATGGTGCACGAAGATCAGAACATCGAAAGTGGATTCGTTACTTTGATAATGCCTTCGCAATAATATTTCTTGCCGCATTAGATGAATACGATCATGTTCTTGTTGAGTCTGACAATGAAGTAAACAAAGCGAATGTTTTGTTTTTAAATAAAAAAATTAAAATTTAGAATCAAATGGAAGAGAGTATAGCATTATTTCGTACAATTGTAACTAATCGATGGTATATGAAGTTTCCTGTGATTCTTTTTTTGAACAAAAAAGATTTACTCGAAGAAAAAATCATGTATTCACATTTGGTCGATTATTTTCCAGAATTTGATGGTAAAATTTATTGATTTAATAACTCAAAAAATTCAATTTGCTATTCTAGGTCCTAAACGTGATGCACAAGCTGCACGAGAATTTATCCTTAAAATGTATGTCGATCTCAATTCAAATAGTGATCGGATTATCTATTCACATTTTAGCTGTGCAAATAGTAAAGACAAAAAAAATATTTTTCTTTTTAAAGAAGTTTTAATTATTTAGATGCAGATGGTGATGGTGTCCAATTTTTAATTACTTCTGCTAAAGACATAATTCTTCAATCAAATCTAAAAGAATATTCGCGCAATTAGGAAAGGTTATGTGAAATAAAATGTGTTTATATGTGTATCACAGTCAAAAAGCATGGGTTTATAAAAGGTTATCGTTGAGAGTGTGGGTGTGAATGTGATATTAATGTGATGCCTATACCCGTACTCACACCTACCCTTAATAAATAATAAAGAAACATATTCTAATAATTTATCTTCACTTTTAATCCTTTGGAAACAGAATTATTTTTTAGTCAAAAAATAGTATCAATATTTACAAACTAATCCGGACTCAATAATGAGATTCAAAATATCTAATGTCGTATCTTTCGTACAAAGTAAAATATAAAAAAACGATACGTGCGTCATCTACACATGAGCCTTTATGCTAGTACCATCTTTCGTTGGGACTCATTTTATATTAAAAAAATACGTATCATAGATACTAGATTATAGTTTATCACCATAGTATTTTTTTTCCTCGTGCGTTCACTCTCATTTTACATATCGCTACCATGTCTGCATTTATCTTTGATTGGTACTTTTCATCACGCTTCATTTAATCAAATTATTCAAAGGTGTCTCAATACACTCCTGACATCACTTCCTCGATATTCAAGTCTAAAGTTTAAATATTTTTCTTTTCGCATTAACATCATAATAAAGGATAATGTCAATGGTAAATAATCTTGTTTTGAACTATTATTAAAATCTATTTCTATAAGATATTTGTTTAGAAAAAAGAAGATCAACTCAAATTAGATTCCATCAAAAGGTTTTCATTCACGGTTCTTCATCTTGTTGATAGTTTTATTCCAACTACAGTAGTTGCACCTATTGAACGTGTAAAATTACTCCTTCAATGCCAGAATGAAATGCTGAAACAAGGTACCATTATTCGACCATACAACGGTGTTATTGATTGTATCATGCAAACTTTTAGAAATGAAGGTACCTTGTCATTCTGGTGTAGTAATCTAACCGCTTGTATTCTATCGTTACCCATTGAGGTTTGTGTGAATTGATGATTATTAATCAAGGAAAAATTAAGTGATGATGATTTTTTAGGCTATCAAATTTGCCTTCAGAGATAAACTTCTCGTAATGTTTAAACAAAATAAAAATCACTCACATATGGTGAATCTTGCTAAAAATATAGCAATTGGTAGCACAGCTGGTGTATTATCATTATGTTTTGTTCACTCACTTGATTATGCTCGTACACGTTTGGCTAATGATGTTATAAGTACAAAGAAGGGAGGTGGTGAACGTAAATACAAGGGTCTTGTTGATGTCTATAAAAAAACATTGGCGACCGATGGTATTGCCGGTCTTTATCGTGGCTTTGTTATTTCATGTGTTGAGACGAGTATTTATTGTGGATGCGTTTTTGGTTTTTATGATACATTTAAACCAATTTTAGTTGGTCCTAATGATAATATTACGCTTTTATTTTCACTTTATTTTGGTATCATAGTTACATCTTACTTTATTTCATATCCAGTTGATACTATTCGACGACGTATGATGATGACATCAGGTGAAGCAGTTAAATATAAAGGTTCAATGAATTGTATGTTCCAAATTTTACGAACTGAAGGTGTTATGGCTTTCTATAAAGGAGCTAGTATCAATATTCTTCGAGGTCTGGCTAGTGCTAGTGTCATACTTGCATTAAAAAGATTGGGACAATCTCATGCTGGCATTAAAGCTGATCCAAGTGCTAGTGATTAAGAGAAAAGAATATTTCATACAGAGTCATCTCAATCAGACTATCTTCCATTTTTCGTCTACTCCCATATACCTACCAACTGTTTTTTTTTCGTCATCTGGCCTATTGCCTAAAAAGAAGAACATAGATTTCTCTCTCTATCTTTTCATTTGTGACTGTTTATTTTCATTCCGCAGCATCTGCAAAAAAAAGAAACAATTACGTTGAATTTAGATCAGAATATTTATTTATTGAACATGTTTGTTGAGTAATGTCTATCAATAAGCAAAATCTTTTACACGAATCATATCATTCAACAATTACTGAACAAACAAATAATTATACTTATGATTGAGGGTGTGGGTGTGGATCTGAAATAGAAAACGAACAGTTGAATGCAGGACACTTGCTCGCAAATCGTATAATTATATGGAGAAAGAATCCAAATTTCTACACTATTTCAAGTGTCTTTTAAAATTATCCTCGAAATGTTTGAGAGATATGAGTGTGGATATTTCTTTTGTCTCTTACTCATATCCACACCCACATCCAACACTCTAGTCATCCACACCCACCCTCACACTTCAGTATAGAGAAGGAAAACAACGATACAAATTCTTCCAATTTGTAAAATGCTTTGTATCGCTAAACGAAGTTAAATAAGAAATATTTATTAAGAATCTATAAGTTACAACTTAAAAAAGGTTGAAATAAATATAATTTTATGTAAAAACATCGACACTATATCGATCAAGTGAAATTTCTTCAAGAATTTTTCCTGCTTCAACTTCATTACATTGTTTAATTTCTGCAATGATCTTGATAAAACATGTTTTCACTGATGTACCTAATTTGTTAGCACTACCACATGTATAAAATCGTGCACCAATGGAATACAATTTAGCAATCTCATTTCGATCTTCCCAAAGTAAATCTTGAACATATTTTTTGTCATCATTTTTTTGACGAGAGAAAATAGATTTGACTTCTATTGCAGCAAGTTTCGACCACTTATCTAATTCATCTGAATACAAAAAATCTTCATTTGCTCGACATCCATAATAAAGAATTGTTCGTCCAATATCTCTTCCACATACGAATTGAGCTGCTCTTTCTTGAATAAATCCACGAAATGGTGCAATTCCAGTTCCAGCAGCTATCATAACAATAGGTACTTTTGTATCTTCAGGTGGATGAAATTTAACATTACTTGCTCGAACACTACAACTAATATGATCACCTTCTTTGAGATTTGCAAGATAATTCGATGCAACACCATAATATTGTCCAATTCCACTTAATGATGGTCTATTGAGTATATCCCATGTTATTGTTACAACTTCAGAATTCCATAAAGGTGATGACGAAATACTATATTGACGAACACGAAGTGATGGAAGCATTCGAAGATATTGTGCAAATGAAAGTTTACATGATGGATATAATTCAAGAATGTCCAAAATATTTATTCGTTTATCAAGAATTTCTTTTTCATATTCATCTCCAGCAAGATTTGTAAGGCGTATTTGTTCTGTTTCATTTTTACATAATCCAGCAAGAATTTCAATTTGCTTTTTACTGATTGGTTGAGCTAACTCAACATAACCAATTAAAATATCAAATGCACTAACTGGATAATTTGTTGGAAAGAATGTATTCGTCGAAGAATTAATTTTAATATGAGTATCACCAGATAAATGAAATTGTTTAAGAACTCGAGAAACAATTTCAATTGGATTTGTTGGTAAAACAGAAAGATAATCTCCAGTACGATAAGTTTGTCCTTTTGGTAATTGTATTTCCAAATGTCGTTTCATAGGTCCAATTTCATTTGCGTCAACTAAAATTTTATTTTGTAAAGCAACACCAAAATCTGTTATTTGCCCAAGATGTCTACTTGAATTGACAATTTCGATTGAAAGTTTTTCATTACTAAACACATTTTGATCCCCAGTATCTTTTCGTAATGCTCGAAATAGATTTTCTTTCCAACTTTCAAATGCACCAAAAAAATCACCTGCAGCATCACCAACACCACGTTCAATAATTCGTTTACCACCCATGTTTTCAATCATCTGATCAATATAAGTTGGAACTTTTTGATACGTATCAATCCAATCATGATGACCAGCTCCAAATACAGCATAATTGATTTCTAATTTTGGTTTTGATTCAAGATAAGCGACAAATTGTTTGGCATTGTCGCATGGTTTACCTTCATATGAAGCAGTTATTATTATAATAGGTCGATCATTTGGAAGACATCCAATAGAAGAATCGAGATTCGCTACTGTTGCATTATAACCATAGAGAGGTGCTTCAGATGCTAATGTATCTGCAAAAGATTGACAAGAACCAGAATTACTACCAAAAAGAATACACATTGGTCGAAGATGTTCTCTATCAATTTGTTGTTTTGTTTTTTCTGGTATTTTTTCTGATTGTTTGACATTTGTATTAAGTAGAAATCCTATTTGTTGACGTGGTCGAACTCGTATTTTAAAACCATCTGGTTTGATTGTTAAGGTTTCTTTAATACGAAGATCATACGATGGATCAACAAATTCAATATTAAAATGTTTAAGTATAAGGGCAATAGCAAGAAGACTCTCCTGCCATGCAAAAGGTCGACCGATACAAGCACGTTGCCCATTACCAAATGGTTTCCATAAATTTGGTGGAAGTTTTTCAAATCCACCATTGAGCATTCGTTCTGGAATAAATTCTTCTGGTTGGTCCCATACCTTTGGATCACGATGTAATCCAGACAAAAGAACAAGTATCATATCGTCTTTCTCAACTATGTAACCACCTGGAAGCATGATATCACCTATCTTCGATTCTAAACTAAATCCTGGTGCTGTAGGTTGTAAACGAAGTGTTTCTTTTAATACTGCATCGATATATTTTAATTTGCTTAATGTATCAACTGTAATTTCATTATATAGATCGACTTCTGCTTGTGCTTTTTGTAACGCACGTGGATTTTTTAGAAGATAATATAATGTAAATGAAAGAAGTCCAGATGTTGTTTCATGTCCGGCAACCAAAAAAGTAAACATTTGATAACGAATATTTTCATCAGATAATTGATAACCAGTTTCTGGATCTTTACCATTAATCATTCGATTAAGTAAATCATTAACATCATTTGGATTTTTACGACGTTCTTGAACAATTTCATCGCATAGATTGTGAATATATTCAACATCATTCTTGTAGCGACGCGCAGTTGTCATCATCAGTGTATTTTGCAAAGAAAATCGTCCAACACGTTTACCACTTTCAATAAGAACATTTATCATAGCATCAACAAAACGATGCATTGTATTATGATAGAAACTATTGAATCGATAATTGAAACTGCATAAAGCAATAGTATCCAACGTCAAACGAGTCAAATTATCGCAAACATCAATTTCTTCCCCAGCAAATCGTTCCCATCGAAGAATAAGTTGTGTACATATATCCATCATAGCTGGAAACATATCTCGAATGGCTTGTGGTCCAAAAGCAGGCATTAAGATTTTATGAGCAAGTTTCCAATTTGGTTCTGACGTATGTGCAGTAAAGAGTCCATCGCCAGCTGCAGCTCTCAATTCTTCTAGAGCTTGACTAACATTTTTATCGAATTTTGTTTCGTCACATACAAAGTTAACAATTTCTTGACTACAAACTACCACAAAACTTTTGTTAAAAAAGGTCAATCGATAAATATCACCGTACAGTTTGTGCAATCTTTTCAGAGACTCTAAACCATGAGTAGAATCTATCTCTTTCAAATTTCCAATCAAAAACGTTGGTTGAGGTTGTGGAATTAATTTGCTCATGATAACTGTGTACAAATCAAAGCCAATATTCTGTAGACAATCTCTAAATACAACTTACTTAATGCTCTGTTGATCAAAAATTGATTGTAAGTACTTCTTCGTTGCTTTATTGAATACAATGAATTTCGTTACCTTTTTATATATCGCAAGTTTTTTCATTCTGTCTATACGTGTCATACAAATCTCCTTAGTGCAAAAAGATACGTGCACAGAATACGTACGCAGAATACGAGCACAGAATACGTGCCCAAAACACGAGCATAGGATACGTCCGCAGAATACGTCCTCAGAATACGTGCCCAGAATAAAACAGAATAGAACAGAAAAGAAAAAAACAACGTTTCATTGTTCTTCTTTATTTTTATTTGTCACTGATAAAGACAGAAAAAAATACTCACAAGCTCCGGTAAAACGTCGTACGCAATTTTTTTCATCGCTTTCGTGGTGTACACGTAAAAAAGCACAAAATAAAAAAGTTGAAGGCAAATGGCTACCAACAACAGCGTTACCAAAAATCAGAAGACTAATATAATCGTTATTACAGGAAATGATGAAACATTTCAAAATCTTCTCTCCATTATTCGAAAATCAGACAAATGTGGTGAATTATCTGGTATAACAAGAAGTGTTGTAAGTGTTTTGAAATCACATCTGTACAATGTCAACTACAAAGATATATTTTCCAGATTCCTGAATCTACTGAAGACACAACAAAAGTATCATATAAACGTCGTAAAACGGATTTAACTTGTGTAATATGTGATGATAAATGTTCTGGGTACAATTTCAGTGTAATTTCCTGTGAATCATGTAAATCTTTCTTCCATCGAAATGCCTCTCATAATGTGGTAAATTGCTAGCGATCATGTAATTATCTTACTAAATTTTATGATTCTGTCGTCTTCTTTTTGTAGAACGATCTAGAATGTTTAACTAATACTAACAAATGCGATATAAAATTTAAAAATAGACGTCGAATGTGTAGACGTTGTCGACTTGAGAAGTGTTTGTCAGTCGGTAAGTATGAAACTCTTTCATAAGTTAAAGATGACCATAATAAAACTGTATATTTTACTCGATTCCATAGGTATGAAATGGAGTTCTTCTGCGAACGAAAAGTTAAACAAACAGCGACAGTTAGAAGAAAATAGACGATTAACGAACAATACAATTAATATTCTTACGCAGACAAGTTTTATAAATGTTTCTCTTGAGGATAATAACCAATTGATGAACGCGCCAACTATAGTGTTGGAGCCACAAAAAGTATGTCATTTTTACGATATTTTGTGAACAGACTCAATAAAATTACTTTCGATTTTGTATTCAGAAGCGTTTTCTAAGTAAAAAATTATAAGTTTTTAAAGAATCAGCTAAAAAATATGAGTAGGTTAGCTTACAAGAAATTTACCACTTCACACAATCGATTTATTCTAAAAATGAAGAAAATCATTTTTTCATCTAGTTTCAGCACTAGTGATTTCAACAGCAAAAATCTCCAGCTTGCCAACATTTTTTATAGAGAATTTAGCATAACATATTTATGTCAAAACGAAAGAAGGAAGAGCGCGGGATGTGTCAAGTTAAAACAACAAAATTCTACATATCTTTATGATGTCTATATTTGTCATTTAAGGAGTCTACTATAGAACAGCTTGAAACTACTCAATTACCTCTTATTCAACAAATTATACCACTTCCACAAAACGTTTCCCTCACTCTTGACGACTACAATCGTCTCAACTCAGTTAAACTCTCCTACGACATAGCTTTTCGACTCACAACAACCAAACAGACTGTATCTGCTTTCGACCATATAAACGATCGACGCTCGGGTTTACTTTATTCAACTTCACTCTTGTATGATCTTGGTATGAAACTCATTACATTCATTCGGAGTATTCCTGAATTTGAATTTCTTAATGAACAAGATCGTTTTATATTATTTAAATACAATTCTCCTTTGGTACTTTACATGCGTATATGTCTATGTTACGATATCGATAGAGATCTTGTATTTGATCCGGAAGTTCAAAGCGAAGAATATGCTATCGTTTGCAAACAACTATCGCAGTATTGCTTTGGAAAACAATTGGATTCAGCATCAACTCAACTGTTTCGTTCGATCAAGAATGTCACTGACGATGATCCAATTATTTTGCAATTGATGCTGATTATATTGACATTTACCAAAAGTCTCTCAGTTGAAAATATTGTAGAAAACGAACAGTCAACCTTTATGAATAGCAAGCAAGTCGATGAAGCACAATCAATCTATGCGAGTCTATTATTTCGCTATATGATTAAAAAGTATTCTACTTATTATCAGGCAGCACGTCAATATTCACAATTGATACAAAAAATACTTCAAACGCAAATGTTAATACGGACATTTCAACAATTTTTTCAAGAACAATTAGTTGACACAAGGGATGATGAACTTAATCCTATTATGAAGTCAATTTTAGGTTTGCATTACACTAGTGTTCAATACTTTTCTAACGTTAAAAATAAAAACAGAATAAGTAAAGGTGTGAGTAGGTGTGAGTGTGGGTGAGGGCATGGATATTATATGAATATGATGCTTATACGCACACCCACATCCACCCAGCTATTTTTTAAAGGTATTCTTCTTCTTTATCATAAATGAAATAAAATAGATACCTATCACAACATGGAGAAAAAACACAAACATACCAATTTCAAAGTTAAAATAAAAAGATAAAGAAAGATTGTATATAAGAAGACGGTTGCCGTTTAGCTTTTCATTCTTTTTCAAAACAAGGACGACATACTAAAACACAATCGAAGGTATGGAATTATTTCATAAGAGTTAGAGGAGAAGTTTTAAAAATATAGAAGATCTGTAGAAAAGAAGAGGATTTGAACCATGTTTTGAGAGGATAATATAAATTTTGTTACTTGATTTTATTTGGATCATGACTGTCAATTATCCTTCATAGAAGTTGATGATTAAATATTCTATAGACTTTGAGCTTTTTGCTAAATGATAATAAACGTTTTTAGGTGTGTGTGAGTAGATGTAATTACGTCCATTTTTGCAATAACCATATCTACATCCTTGAGAGGTAATCCCTTTTCGTCCTTCCTTTTTTTCGGACATCGGACAGAAAAATTCGTTTCGAACTCCAATCGCTTATCCCGATCATAAAACGTCGTTGCTCCAACAAGTGATAGAAATATTAATCACTCATATTCCCAATCACTCTAATCAAAATCGAATCCGCGGTGTACTTCAACAATATGCGACAGTATTCGATTTATCTATTATATCTCAAGATAAAATACTTATTTATCATACTATTAACACTGAAGATAATTTTCTAATTAGTTCACGCCCATACTCGAAAACTATTTAACAACGCCTTGTGCTTCAGACAGAAATTTAAAAAGATGCTTGTGATTCGTCAAATTGGACCTTTCACTTCTCCCTGGGCATCTCCAGTGATCATTTACAAAAAGAAAAACGGTGGTCTTCGTTTTTAGGTGATTATAGAAAATTGAACGCAATAACCAGAAAGGATTCATTTCACCGTCCTGCCATAGAAGAATTACTACAGCGATTGGGTGGTCATCGTTTTTATTCTAAACTCGATCTGAAATCCGGATATTTCCAATTACCGATACATGAAACCGATAAAGGGAAGACAGCGTTTATAACACAAGATGGACTGTATGAATTTAACGTACTCCCTCAAGGTGTGATGAACGACCCTTCCACTTTTCAACGTACCATGCACAATTTACTCGGAAATGGGCGCTGGGACTATGTACTTGTTTATTTAGATGATATTTTAATTTTTTCTCGCACATTTGGTGAGCCTCGTAATCAACTACGTAACTTATTATCGTTACTAACTAAAGCTCGCTTTCAAGTAAATGCGGACAAATGTATCACTGGTGTCAATGAAATTAATTTTCTAAGTCATACTATAAATGAACAATGTATCAAGCCTATCAGTGAGATGATAACAGCAATTGCTCACTTACCTTCACCCACAACATTAAAAAATGCTAATGCATTTTTAGGCAAAATCAATTAGTATCGTAAATTTATTCCGACTTTCGCTCAAGTTACTGCTTCATTGTACAAAGTTACAAATAAAACAAAGCCACACAAGCAGGAGTTCTTCAGGCATATTGACCAACAAAATACATTTGAAACGTTTAAACATTTACTGACAACTTCTCCATTATTTTTTTGAATATCCTAGTGTAACAACACCATTCATTCTAACTACTGATGCGTCTCACATTGATATTGGCGGTATTTGATAGAAAAATACTCGTACTGGTACTAGAATCAATTATTTCACGTCAAGCGTGTTGGCTGATACTGAACAGAAATATAAAACTTTTGAATAAGAAGCATTGGCTATTTACTGGTGTATTACAAAATTACGATCATATATCGATAATGTTCACGTTACTATCGAAACTGATTATAAGCCACTGGAAAATTCCCATTATAAACAGATTAATAATAAACGTGTTATGAATTGGTTATTAAAATTACAAGAGCTTATACCGCAAATCATCGAAGTTAAATATCGTAAAGGTGCCAACAATACTACTAGGGACTATATTTCACGCCATCTTCCACTATCGTGTAAACCAACCTCACCAACAGAACATTTTTATTTCTGTTAATACGTATGAGTAATTCTATCAGACGAGAGCAGAACAGAAAAAAAATTTAAGCGCAAGCGTCGTGTGCGTAAGTGTCGGCGCGCAAATGTCGTGGCATAAACTTTATGGACTCTTTAGTTTAATCGTTTTTTCTGATGTTTTCGTTCTGTCATATTATTTTTTCTTTTTTTTTCTATCGGTGGAAAGAGGAAGTATTATAGCATGATATATCACCTGCCATAAAGAATGCTAATTCTCTTTCATTTCCTCATGTACTACTGATAGCGTTGATTATTTAAGAAGTGAATATTGCGAAGAGAAGGATGATTCTTGTTTTACGAAAGAAGAGTAATAAAGAATAAAAAGAAGCAATAACAGTATTCACTTTATTTTAATTATGAATATATTTTCGTCTTTCTCCTAATTTATGAGATCATATTGATATTTTGTATTGTTTTTTTTTGTATGAGCATATTTTTTATTACAAAGAAAAGAGTAAAAATAGCATTCTCTCGTATTTTCATAGAATTTTTTTACTTATGATACTTTGTGGTACTGTAAGATAGTGGAATAATCCATATCATCTAACAGAGTATGATAATGGAATTATCCATATCTTCTAACAGTGTGTCATGGTGTTTTTCCCTTTTCTGTTATGGTTCTATCTAACATATACACATATATATAGCTGTCGTTGTATATATGCGTTATATATATATATCTTCATATATCTTTTCATCGCTCGTTCTCTCTATCTGCTGTTTCTTTCGTTTTCTTCTTCAATTAAGATATCTTTTCCGAAGATCGTATTTTATTCAATATCAAGACGTGACAAATACTTTACCTTAAAAAGTAAAGTACCAAATGTCCCTTTGCTTTAGATTTCTATTAAAAACGCTGCTACCATAACCGATAATCATTAGCACCAAATGGATGTCAATACATGGACACGATTTATTATTTTAATTATCTATACAGTTGGAGTAACAGCTACAGATTATTATAAAATCTTAGGAGTCAAACCAAATGCAACTGAAAAAGAAATTAAACGCAAATTCCGTCAATTAGGTATTTTATATATACTACATGTTTTCTATGAAATCAAAATTCTATTTTGTTATATAGCTATAAAATACCATCCTGATAAAAATAAAGATCCCAAAGCCGAAGAAACATTTTGTTCTATAGCGGAAGCATGTGATGTATTAAGTAATCCAGATAAACGTCGGCAATATGATGCGCAACGTCATCAATCATTTACCTCTTCCTCATCAAATCGAGATGGCTTTTCTGATTTCGATTCTAAGATGCACGATTTCTTCGAAGAGTTTGAGGCTTTTCATAAGGCTCGTCGTCAAGCTTATGAACGTGCTCATCAATATTCCCATCAACATGCTCATCAATATGCTCATGAAAGTGCTTATGAAAGTGCTCCTCAGCATGTACAAAAAAATGTTTCTAATTTAATTTTATTTGTTTTATTGATTGTAATTTGGATTTATTCTAAAAAACGAAATCCACAGCGAGAAAGTCCAATTTCAACAGGTAAATTCCAATTAATCATAAAAAAAGCAATGAATTTTTTTCTTTTAAAAAGATGAAGCAATACATCGAAGTGAACATATGAAAAAAATTCGAGAACAACAACAAAAACGATATGAACAAGAAGCTTTACGTCGTTTAAAAGAAAAACAACAAAAACGATATAAACAAGAACCTTTACGTCGTTTAAACGAAAAACAAGCTATTTATTATTAGGAATGGTAACGCGATGATAGCATCGCTGACTCTCGACTGAAAGGAATCGCTGAGAGGAATTCATATTGCAAAAACTATGAAGGACTAGCTGTTCGAATGTGATATTTTATTTGCCCATTTGAAAAAATATCGTTGTTAAAAATATATTTTAATGAATACATTTATTCACATGGTAAAAATAATGTTAATCTCAGTTATTAATAAAAAAAAGCTGAGACTCATTTGAGAATGGGATGCTCATACAGCATGTACAATCTACTGTTCAGATGGATAAAATTGAATGACAAGTATATTTATATTAAGCTACTAAAAAACATAACATACCAATCAACGTTGTTCATTGCAAATGAAATCGATCTGAAATAATAAGTTTTAAAGAAAAGTTCAGGTTGAAATTATATATTCATAAAACTTAACAGGCGCTCCTGCAAGAAAAATCAAGATACGATTTTCGTCCAGATAGAATGAAAATTTTGAGATCTTCTAGAAAATATCCAATTATGATAGAAGTTCTAAAAATTTGTATAGTAAGAAGTATATCTTTTAGATTTTACTGTAAGTATGATAAATTGTGTCGGATTTTAATCTCATTTGGAATACAAGCAAAACAAACATCAGACTATGTGAAAACGCATTCGCTTCATAGCAAGCATCTGCATTTATATATTCATATAAGAGAATCATTCTCTATAGATTGAATATTTTGCATCAAGCATACAATTAGAAATTATTTGAGAAATAAAAAGAGGTACAATATTTTTTATTTCATTTTTTTATATTTGAACAATAAATGAGAATAATTAATCCATAGTTGGTTGCCAGTGGATGTGGGTGCGAGTATATGTATCTTCTTTATTTACATCCCTCCACACCCACACCCACCCACCCTCAAGATATGATGATATTCATTTGAAGACAAAACAAATCATGGCAAGTAATTATATAGGAACAGATGTATCGATGATTGATAAAATGGAATATTATTTAACAAATGATTTACAAGCAACAAGTGATGAAATTGATTATATTAAACGTTTATATAATACAAAAACAAAAGATCGAGGAATACTAAAAAGAAAACCAAATGTTCGATTACCATCAACAATAGTTGATAATTTTCTCTATCATGGTCATGTTGGACATGCAAAAAATTGGAATTTATTAAATGAAATTGGAATAAAACATATTTTAAATATTTGTGAAATTGAATTAAATAAAGAAATTCTTGATAATTTTAATGTTTTATGGATCAATATTGATGATGATCACTCTGTAGATATTCAAAATTATTTTTAACAAACAAATAAATTTTTACGTTTATGTCAAAATAAACATAAGAAAGTTTTCGTTCATTGTCAATTGGGAATATCTCGTTCATCTTCAATTGTTCTTGCATATCTTATGAAGTAATATGATGATTTATTAAGAAAAATTTCCTTAAATATTTTCTATTTAGATATCATCATGAAAATTTAATTGATGCCTATGATCATTTAGTTAATTGTCGACGTATTGCTTCACCGAATTTTGGCTTTTTTCTTCAACTTATTCGATATGAAAAGACTCTTCATAAATTTTTATCTTCAAATGAATCACATGGAAAAGATAAGATTTGTCAATAAATGTTTTTTATAAAAGAAATATATTCTTTATCTCTATTCTTTCATTTCTCTTATAAAAAAAATGACGAAATTTAGTTTTTCTATTTTATTTATTTTTACATTATTTAATATTATTATTATGAGTGAACAAGATGATATTATGTCACCACGTGCAACAATTTATATTTATTCAGGTCGTCCAAATCCTCGTTGGCAATTATCTATTGATGAATGGTCACAATTAAATCAATTAATTGTAAAATTACCAAAAATAACTGAAAATGAAATTGGTCCATATCAATTTCCAGGTCAATTAGGTTATTCAGGTTTTGCAGCACATTTTGCAATTGTATCCAAGTTATCCTGATATTTATTATGTGGCTCAAAAACAACAAGCAGTTTTATCAAATCCTGGTGGACATATTATTTATAATGATCAAGAAAGAACTATCGAAAATTGGTTTAAAGATAGTGCAAATCATCACGGAATTCCTTTACCAATATAATCTGAAGAATTTTTTATTTTTAAAAAAATAAATCTAAAATAGATTGAAAATGAATAAAACTTGCTGTAACTTCAGGTCTTTTTTTTTTATTTGACTAGGTCTTGCTAGAGAATGTCGAAAATGAAAACGTCGAAATGGCTGATTTATTTTTTGTGTGCATGTTAAGTAGTATGTTTATTAATTCATAAGAAAAGAGACAGGTAATATTCGTTCTTTCGTCCTAACACTGGATTTACAGAATCTGTACGTCTACCATTAATACATATAAGTTCACTTGTTATACTTGTATGTATGTACACACCGCATTCTCATTCAACAGTTGACCAATATTTTGTAGATTGTGTTTTTTTATTAAAATTAAATAAGGAATTTTCATATATTAATCGTGGTTCACCTTAGTTCTATAAAATAAATCATACTTCAAATTGGTGAATTTTAGGTGAACTAGTTTCAAGATCGAAGTCTGTTGTCACTTAAATGATATGCAGATTTATAATGTAAGAAAATGGGATTGACGGAAAATGTCGAAAAAATAATAGGAAAATATCGAAAGGTAAATATAGAAAAGTGGAAACCATCGAAATGAACACAAATATGAAAGAAGTGAAAGGAAAGCATAGAATAGAAGATATAGAAAAAATCAAAAATGATTTAAAAAGATGTCTATACTGATCGTTATTTTATTATTGCAATTACTATTGGCTATCACTAGAGGGTGTGGGTGAGTGTAGGGATCTCTTCCTTGAGCAAGTACTCAGACTCTCTCTACACCCACCCACGCCCATCGTGTCATATTAAAAACTTCATTTTCGATCTTTTGTCTATCTACATTCTCCTTTCTACTTTTTCCTACTGATTATTTATTCTATTCGACGTCAGTCTTTTCGGTCTTTATACTATATATTTTTTCCTTTTCGATATTTTCCTTCTCTTTTTTTCGACATTTTTCCTTTCGACATTTAACACTACACCCATTTAATTACAAGAGTTTAATTATGAACAAGATTTTGAAAGAATTTTAATATTATTAGTACCAGTCATTGCAACAGCAATATCAGTTAATAGATCATTATTAAAATCGAGAAAGATTTCAATTTCATTTATTCCATATTTAGTTACAACAAAATCTGTTTTATTATTATGATTAAAATCACCAATACCAATTGCATAAGGATAAGATTTAATTCCCATTGAATAAATTATTTGTTCAGAAAATAAACCATTTTTATTTCCAAGAAATATTCCAATACTTCCTGTACCATTATTTGCAACAAGTATATCTAATTGTTGATCATTATTAATATCAATAAAATTAATAAAACATGGAAGAGAATCATAACCAGTAGGATATCTTCGATAAAATGAATAGAAATTATTATTATTACCTATATAGATACTTATATCATTTGTACCATCATTAAGAATAATAATACTAAATTATTCAACTATTATCTAATCCATCGATGGCAGAGGGTGTGGCTGTGGCTGTGGGTGAGGGTGGGTATTATTTTTATGTCACATGCAAACCTAGACCTATCCTCACAGAAAATGCGGAAACAGAAAAAAAATACATGACAGCATATGCTACACGGTTTTTCTATATCATGATAAAATTTTCGACATTTTTTTTATACGTCGGCATTTTACCTATCGACATTTTATCTATGAACATTATTTGTCGACATTTTTACTTATCAATATTTTGTTGTCGACGTTTGGCCACTAAATCACTCATCCACATTAGTGGCATAGCTAGGATTTGACTGGTGGCCTGGCAATGCCTTACGAAATTTTTAAAACCTATCATACCATTAGGGGTGTCGCGACCGGAGGGGGAGGTAGGAGCGTTATCCATCCCAATCTTTGGAAATTTTGTTTTTTTTGCTTACCATTTTTTGAAAATTATTAAGAGATTTTCAGAAATTCTGGACGACTTTTTGAGAAAGTCTTTCGAAATTTTCCGAAGTCTTCGAAAGATTTCTGATAATTTATAAAAATTTTGCAAAAGTTTTTCGAAAAATCGTTAAAAACTCACAAAAATCTTCAGAAATTTTCAAAAAATCATTAGTTTTTTTAAAAATTTTGGTAGTTTGTGGAAGTTTCTGAAGAATTTTCGAAAACTTTTCGACCTCCACCAATCTTTAACATTGCGACAGCCCTGCGTATTACTTGATAATTTTCTGATGATTCAAAATCAGTCTATAATCTTTCAGTGTTTTAGATAAGGATTAATTTAACGCGAAACAAAGGGCCTACAGAGTGAGGGCAACGCACGGGGCACTACGCCCCCTTGCTCTGGAAAAATTTCGGTTTTTATTTGATCTATAAAATAAAAAAAAGGGTTTTTACATAGTTTTTTGCGTTAGATTTTAGCAAAAAGGGTGCTGCGCCTCCCTGCTTTTAAAACTTGAAATGTCGAGAGTTCATCCCCCTGCCTATTGACTTGTTCAGTTATTTATAGTATTCTTCAGATGTCTCTCATTATCAGAGATATAGTCTTATATAACTTCATTGACAGTATAATTTAAAAAAAAATACCTAGTAAGAAATTTTTCTCAGTGGCCTGGCAAAAAGTACCGGTGGCCTGTCAGTGCCAGGCCATGTCAGGCCTTGGATACGCCACTAATCCACACCCTCAAGATGCTCAGTTGCTCTACACATCAAAAGAGTTTCATTAGATTTCGTGTGTGAGAACCGAAAAGTTTAGCTCAACTAGAAATGTGATGAAAAACTTTTGCATAGGAAAGTTATAGTATATATGACTAGCTACACACCGAAATAAAAATAATTCAAAATATATAATATTATAGTCATCCAAGTAAAAAAAGGTGTCGCGACGGAATCACGTTTTGAAAATGGCCATGTTTTTGTCACCGTTTATTTCTCCGAAAATGAACTACAATTCCATTAAATGGATGAGACTAATAAAGCATGCACGAAAATGTCTAAAGAAAACACCCACCCTCACCCTCAAGATAATTATTAAATCTTTTATTAGAGCGTAGGTAATAGCAGTGATTAGATCATATTTGAATGATTTCTATCAAGATAATAATCATTATAAATATCAGCAACAATAACTTGACGTGGACGCGAAGAATCCGTTGAAAATGTTTTTTGATTATTAAATGTATTATTTCCATATCCATAAAAAATTCCAAATGAATGTGTACCATAATTAGCAACCATAATATCAATAAATGTATCATTATTAAGATCAGAAACTGTAACTGAATATGGATGAGAATTAATATCAGTTGAATAAGTTATTTGACTAATATATGTTTGATTATTATTATTAATAAATATTTCAATATTATCATTGTTAGTATTAGCAATAACTATATCAATATTATAATCATTATTAAAATCTGCAAGCGCAAGAGATTGCGGAAATGAATCATATTGACTTTTAAACGAATTTATTGATGTAAATTTTAATGAACATGAAGATTCTATTTATAAAATAATGTAGATTTATTGAAATATATAAATAAATAAACGACCTACCAATCTGTGATCGTGGTGTTAAACAAATAACCAAAATACCAGTAAGTATTGATAAACTTACAAATAAAATAGAAATAAAAATACTTAGATGTGAACGTATTTTTGAATAACATTTATTGAGACTAAATAAGAAAAATATTCAGATTTATGTAATCGAATTAAATGAACATACAAAAGATTTTCAACTTCATGTTCATTTTTTACTATGTTATTATTAACAACAGGCAATGTTTGCTGTATTTCCATTGGTTGAGGAGTAATTTCTTCTAAAGATACCCATTCATTATCTGTTGAAACTATATCCATTTCTATAAAACTTATAAGTACAAAAATATTTATCAAATGATATATTTTTTTGTGCATTTGACGTCATTTACTTTTTCTCATCAAATAATCATTGACGGTAATCATAAAATCGACTTGTCATTCATTTGTATGATTTATTTTCATTCGTTTAGTCACGTTAATTACGTTTTATACCTTTCTTGTTAAAAACCGTACATTTAAGAACAAAATATTATGTATATTCACTCACGTGGTTAGTTCGAATGTTTTCATCATATTAATCCATGATATCTTCCTCTCGAACAGAAATTAACGTCTTTTTAACGACGAAATAACTTTTTTTTCCTTCGTACTATATGAATCATTCGTATATTTTATGCTTTATCATGTCTATTCAGAGATGGGCAACTCCGGGGGTAAGCAACTCCAACTCCACTCCAACTCCATCTCGTTTCTCACAACTCCACTCCAACTCCAACTCCAGTGTTTGTGATGTCAACTCCAACTCCACTCCAACTCCATCGATTTTTTGAAGGGTCAACTCCAACTCCGCTCCAACTCCAGATAAAAAAGTGTCAACTCCAGAGTTAACTCCAACTCCAGAGTTGAATTTGCTCATCTCTGATGGATATTTTTTGTTGTTCTCTTATACGTCGTGAGATCCATCGGAGTTGAATCGGAGTTGGAAAAAAGCACCAACTCCAACTCCACTCCAACTCTATCTAGTTTTTCACAACTCCACTCCAACTCCAACTCCGTTGTCTACGATATCAACTCCAACTCCACTCCAACTCCAAGGAGTTAAAGTGTCAACTCCGGAGTTGGAGTTGCCCATCTCTGTGTCAATTAGAACAAATATGATATGACTAAGATTACTTAAACAGATAGAACATATGACAACGATGAATTAATCAATGAAATCGATCTTTGAAATTTTTCTTCTATAGATTTACATTATTATATATATTTCGAAATATATGATTATGAAATTCTTTACAATAAAGAAAAAGATTGAACAGATGTCATGTTATTTTAATAGAAAATTCATATTTATACAAATGGATTCAAAGAGAAAATTCATCTGTTTCATGACTAACTTTGATAGTCATACATATTTTATTCATATTTTTATGATAGTGTAACAAATGAACAATTATTATCATAGTTTGTAGATAATGAATAATGAATTAAAATGTCTCTATGATGATTTATTCTAAATCCGATAAATAGTATCAAAACTAACAAGACATTTGAAAGGGCAATTACAGTTATCGTAAGAATTGTAAATTTTGTTAATTATAATAAACTAATATATAAGAGTAAAAAAACAAAGATATTTATTTTTATTTAGGATCGAATATTAAAGTATGTAACAATTCGTGAACATTATAAGAGGACAGTTGTTCTAACTAAAATATTGTTTTAAATTTGAACTATTTGCAAGAAAAAGAATAAAATAATTGAAAGTTAATTTCTTTGAAATAATTAATATAATTCTGCACTATTTAAAATACTAGGATTATGATATCCACCAGTAACTAATACATTTCCATTTGATAATATAGATGCTGTGTGATACCATCGTCCTTCATTCATGTTACTAGTAGTTGTCCAAGTACCTGTTGATAGATCATACAGCTCAGTACGATTGAAAGTATTAACATTGCCTGAACCACCAGTAACTAATATTTTTCCATTTGATAATACAGATGCTGTGTGATATTGTCGTACATTAGTCATGTTACTAGTAGTTGTCCAAGTACCTGTCGATGGATCATACAGCTCAGCACTATTTAAAGCACCATTATTCCATCCACCTGTAATTAATACTTTTCCATTTGATAATAAAGATCCTGTATGAATTTGTCGAGCATGACTCATACTACCAGTAATTGTCCAAGTACCTGTTAATGGATCATAGAGTTCAGCACTATTTAAAACAAAACTGCCATTGCTACCTCCACCAGCAACTAATACTTTTCCATTTAATAATACAGATGCAGTGTGATAATATCGTGCATTAGTCATGTTACCAGTAGTTGTCCAAGTACCTGTTGATGGATCATACAGCTCAGCACTATTTAAGTAGCCAGTGCCCGTACCACCAGTAACTAATACTTTTCCATTTGATAATACGGATGCTGTGTGATAAACTCGTGCATCAGTCGTATTACCAGTAGTTGTCCAAGTACCTGTTGATGGATCATACAGCTCAGTACTATATAAAACATTAGAATTGCCTTCACCACCAGCAACTAATACTTTTCCATTTGATAATACAGATGCTGTGTGCCAAGCTCGTACATTAGTCATGTTACCAGTAGTTGTCCAAGTACCTGTCGATGGATCATACAGCTCAGCACTATTTAAAGCACCACCAATGCCAACTCCACCAGTAACTAATACTTTCCCATTTGATAATACAGATGCTGTGTGAATCCATCGTGCATCACTCATGTTGCCAGTAGAAAGCCATCCTAGAAGTTACATTTTTATATATTTAGACTATACAACATTGTAGAATCAAACAATCAATATTCATTATTCTTGTAAAGTTTTTTCATTATTCTAAAAACGATAGTCTTTGATGTCTATTTTATACCATCTCGAACTTATGTAGACCGAGAATAGTAGTTAAATGAATTATACAAAATCTCTTCACATATCATTATTACATCTTCAGTTTTCTATATTTTCTATTTTCTCTATTATCTCAATCAAATATATAAAAGATGTTTTACGATTCTCTACAAATTTTACAAGCTATGCTTGAAAGATATTCATTAGAATGAAAATTATGAACTTTGCATCAACTCTTTCATAGTTCTCTGAATATTACAATCAAAACAATAATAATCAACATTATTGTCTAAATTAATATTAATAAGACAACAACAGTAATAGAAAAAGTAGAAATAAATACGAATATGAATTAATCAAGCAAAACATCAATTTTACTTGAGATGATCTATCATAACGATGCATTATTATAAACTTCAACATGTTTTAGTTCTGCATCTCTCTTTCATTTCTCTTGTTAATTAACAATGGATATCACAAATCTATATTAACTCAAATGAATTATTCTAGTTGAATATGATGAAGTTTGAAATGTAAATAATCTATATTAGTACCTCTTTCACACATTTGTGTTATTAACAATGGTAAACATACTGCTTGTGGTGAACAACATGAATTAATAACACATATTGAATTATTTGATGAACATGTTTGTGTAATATTATCACACGTTTCTAATATTGAACATAAAATTCCAGGTGAACAATAACGAATATTATTTATTGTTCGATAATCAAAACAAGGAGTTGATGATGAAAGACAACTATTATTATAATTTAAGTTTACATTACATTGTTGTAAAGAACAATTTGATGTTGGATTCCATGCTGAATGAAATGATGAAGATGATGTAAACTGAATAGAAACATTATTTTCACTACAAGAATAATTAGGTAATTGTGTAGTTTGTCCTATAGAGTTCATTTATATTGGGATAGAGCCAAATGAAAAAAAATAATTTAACAAACCTTGTACAAATGAAAGGGATATGATGAAAACGAAGGCAATGATAGATCGCATTATTTTTTGTATGATCAATGAAAAAAAAATAAAGTATGCGGAGCAATAACTGATTTTTCTTTATTCTTTTTTTTCAATACTTTCTGCATTTCTCTTTTAATTGAAAGAGCACAAAACTGATTCTCCCCCAACATTTGCTCGTGTTCTTGAAGTCAAAAGCACATTTCTTTTTTCTTTTGATCGATTTATTCGTTCCAATTTATTCAAATATTTATTTTGTAGATGTCCATTATAGAAAAATCTCTTCTGTACGTATAATCTTCACAGCAGTAGACAAATTCTTATTTCAGACAGAAAAATGTTGTTCGAGGCAAAAAAGCTTTTTCTTTCTTTTCTGTTTATATATAATTATCAACGAAATATATGCATCTGCGATCACAACATAAAGTAAAAGGCATGATGTACTTTTTATTTAGTCGCTGTCGTGCGTGTTCGTAATTTTCCTATGACAGCCAATATATATAATTGAAGAAACCAAATCTATATAACTTGTGAATAGAATTATCATTTTTCTGCTTAAAATAAGCATTTATGTCATCAATAGAAGTTTTATCTAACTCTTTCTGTTGTATGAAGCTGTTTGATCGACAAAGGTGAAAGAAAACATCACTTGACCATGATTTATGTTTGCTTATAATCATTTTTTTATAAGATTTATTGATTACATACAATTCTCTGAAATCAAATAAAAAAGTCAGTTATTATTTTAGCGTATTTTTTTATATGATTGTTATTTTTTGAAAAACAATATTTTCGCAGCGAGTAAAAATTATATTTAATAAAGTTATCAAATATGAAATATTTCTTGTTTGATATAATTATTGTCCTTAGTTCTCATTTGGGTGTGGATGGATGAGGATGTAGATGTGGGTATGGATGTAAGTGTGGGTGTGAACGAAAGAGAGACATTCGCATCCAAAATTACCCACACTCACACCCTACGAAGTCTAATGCTACATATCCACTAGAAGTATTACATCATTTAAAATACGAACAATTAAATTAGAAATCGTTCGAGATTGAAATATGATATTATACGTTCAACCTATAGGACCAAATCACATTGTCCCTATCCAAAAACGTATTTAATTTTAGTCATACTATAAACATTTAAATTAATTATTAAAAGATAAATCGAATGTTGTACTTAAAAATAATAATAAGTATGAAATATTTCACCAAAAGAATCAAATTTTTAGACATTGATTTTTCAACAAATGATTAATAGTATCGATTTTATTTGTCGTCTCTATTTATTTAGTTTCATACATAAAATAATTCATTTTAAATCAAAAAATACTTTTTCCATTATTTCTTTACACATTTTCGATTATGTATCTGACACACATATGAATTGGATAATTAGATCTCCTTTGAAAATATCAAATCGAGCTATTCGCATAAAGTTTGTATTGTATGTACTCTAATATCATCAACAAAATCTTATATTTCAGATAGATTTTCGTTGGTAATGAAAAATGTCAAAATAAAATCTGATGCATAAAGAGTTAATCAAGATTCAATGAATAGCGTTTAACAGTGAGTCTAAGAAAATGACGCTATAACAATACATTGTTCATCTTGCTCCTAATAGATTATAAAAAAGATTGAGGATGAGTGCGGATGGGGTAGCTTTGTTACATTCACATTCACCCGTTTTCTAATATCTACGGATATAAACAGATTATACAATTTTCTAAACTTTAGATACCGAGGTCACTCAAAATATTTATACGAAAATCCTACATCAATTTCAAGATGACTCATAGTCTTAAATACTATATTGATGATCACACTTTGTAACTATGATCACATAATATATTTGAACAAATAAATCATTGTTACAATCTTTAATCAAACAATTAAATCATCCATATCAACGCAACAGTTGAATTTTATTCAAAAATAACGGTAATCAAAGCAGCTATTGAAACATGTCATATGATTCTCCTTTGAGTTATTTCTGTCAAGTCACTCTGAACATCCTCAGACGATTAACTCCTGCTACAATTTATAGTTAATAAGCTATTGAATAAAATTGTCTTATGAGTAAAAGAAATTAATTAGAGATAATAAAACACTTCGATATATTTTCGCCTATAAGTTCTGAAAGGCTAAAGATCACTTTGACTTCTAAAAGTATATACATTAGAATATACTGAAGAGTGATTTATTATTTTTAATTATTCATTTTCTTGTGAAAGTTTGGTTGGAATTGAATTAGAGTGAGTTACAGCATATTTCACTAATACCTCACAGCCAAAACCAACAGGTTCAATTTTTCTTTTTTTGTCAAGAAGTAAGTCCATTTGTTTTCGATTGATTAAGAGTACCTGTCTCTCTCACACAACTAATCAAATATTAGTCTTTTGAAGGATTAGTTATGAGTTATTAACGTAAAGGGGAAAGTCTATTGATCGTAGAACTTTCTATAAGATATAAATATATCAATGTACATGCAAGTAGTTCTTTAAAACTTGATTATTATTTGCATATGAACATTACATCCTCAAATTTCAGCTGACTCATTTTGATTATTTTTTTGTTTTCATTTAAAAAAAACTTCTATTTTAATTACGGTTGCAAGAAAGAAATTCAAAATGAATCTATTAATAAAAAACTAATGAAAAAAATTAAAAAAAAATAGCTATTGGAGTCTGTTTGACTTTAAAAAGTTTATTTTTCGAAGTAGTTCTTGTTGTCAGATCTAACCACCAACAGCTCATGAATGTGTCTCTAACAAGTTCCAACACCAGCAGCAAAACCATTACCATCAGCACAACGAAAAGGACAACGATAAACAACATAACAAATATTATCAAGAGAAGGGCCAACACGAATATAATTATCAGGATCACCAATATTACCATTAGTATCATAAACACCATTATAATTATAAAGTTGACCATCAAAAGTATAAATAGAATAATCAAAACGAAGATGACGACCATTACAATAACTAGAAGTACCATTATCATCACAAGCAACACAAGTATTCTGGCCAACACAAGTAGCAGCATTACACGGTGGTGGAGCTAAAATATACAACCAGAGAAATTTGATTATCGGATCAAAACTAAATTAGTTCGGCATATAAATTCGGCACTCAAAGCTTACTTATACCTTCATACTTTATCATGTATTATATGAAACCAAAGAGCAATAGAGAAACATTGACTGACTCCGTATAGAATAATTCGATTTTGGAATCAGAAGGATCATTCTTAATAGAGTGAGAGTTAAAAAGAGCTGAGTTATAATTTTTGAGTTATGAATGATCAACTTTTTTGTCCAAAAGTCATTTTAGTTATAACCGTGGCTGAAACTTATAACTAAAACCGTAATCATTGTAACCTTTCAAAAATATTTTTTAGTAAATGCAGTCTTGCTTATTCCCCTTTACTGTTCTTTTGACTATTGATTCATTTTTGTATTAGTAACCTTTCATATATTAATTTCAACAACAATTGTTTTGCTTTTGAAAATGTTGCGTAATTAGACTATCACTCTTCTATTGCATAGTCTTAACTTACAAAGCACTCTTTACTAATAATCATATACACTTAATCAATTTCGTCAGGGTCAGAAATTATAACCATAGTGAAAAGTTATAGTTATGGTTAAACCTATAACATCGATTTTGATTATTTTGAATTTTTCTCAGTTTTTCAACTTTCAACTTTTTCAATCAGTCGATCTCTACCTCAAAAAAAGATTATTACTTACTTTGGCATCTTTCGCCAGTCCATCCACCTGTACACTCGCAGGTACCATCAGGACCAGTACATGTTCCACCATTTTCACATAGACCTACACATACAAACACACATAAAACCAACTATCCTGTAGAACAACATGCGCTTTCAAAAGAACTTACACACATCAGAAGGACAATCATGCATAACGTAATCACCACCACAATCAGGACCAGAATTCAAACCATAAATATACCTACCAAAATAAGAAGGCATACCATAACAAGAACGATTAGTACCATTATCATCACAAGGAGCGCAAGTACTCGTGGCACAACAAGTAGCATCATTGCACGGTGGTAGTGTAGCTAAAATATACAGTAAGAGAAATTTGATTATTAGATCAAAACTAAATTACTCCCACACATAAACTCGAAACTTAAAGCTTAATTAGGGTGTGAGCGTACATGAGAATGTGTGTGATACCCTTATATTTACTCACATCTACACCCATCCTACATGCTTGTTGTAATAAATGAGTTTTTGATCAAAACTATCATTAAATCATTCTCTTAGAAAATGTAATAATAGATTGAAAAAAAGAACGCTTTACAAGCTGTGTTGGTTCAGTGACTTCCTAACGATAGTCAGAATATAAGCTCTAAGTATTAGCTTAATTTGAATAGTTTTCAATTCACATTATTGTACAAGTTAACATAAGCTCTTACCTGAGTCGGTAGTATCTCGCATCGTAGTGCGAAGATCGTCAATTTCTAGTTTATGAAAAACACGTCGTAAAAACATGTTGTACAGCTTATTCTTGTCATAATTGTCGCCATTATATTGCCGACGCAATTCTTTGTACGAACTAGGTGTTGCAACTGTTGAATGCTTCGAAATAATTGCAACGAGAGCCAAAGCTACAACTACTATAGTAGATGATCGCATTTGTTTGCTGTTGAGTGAGAATATGAAACTATTCGTCGACTGATAGAAAATGGATTGTGATTTATACAGTCAGTTAGCAAAGGCGCTCATTCAACCAGGACCCAGTATTTCTTCGAAGGAAGAAATACATTCGTAGATAAAACATACTGTGTATTCAACCATAACCCAGTGTATTTCAAAGGAAAGAAAAAAATTAGTGATCAAAGCACGTTGCGTATTCAACCAGAACATATTATTGCTTTGGAGGCATACAAGAAGAATATTTGTTGTTTGAAATTATTCAAGTAGAATATGGTGTGACATAAGAAGATTTAGCTTATGATAAAATTTATTTTACGATAAAAGATAATGACAAAATTATTGTTTGAATAATAAACTATCCTTTTATTTGTCATATTGATTCATTAAGTCAAGCTTTATAGGGCCATACGTTGTTGAGAGTTAATTCGTTTATTATCATATTTTATGACAATATAGTAAAACCTACGTAATATGGACACCATTGAAACCGGAGAAAAGTGTTCACTATAGAGAATTATTATATAACATAGCTTAAAATAGAAGAAATCGTAGAATATTTATTTATGCCTTTATAGTAGAGAAACATCCAAGTATCTGTTCTATTGTTCATTTATCATTAGTTGAACAATTTAAATAAAATCTTCTAATGTTGTTTGTCTTGTTGTATTCGAATCAACGTATAGGTCTATTAATTTAGATTTTAATAATTATTCAGCGATTCGTTTCACGATGTTACATACAGGACCAAGTGAATTAGGATACTTTTCTCATAAAGCTCTTTGAGCTAAACAATTATGATAATCAAAAATCTGTTTCTAAAATCTTGTGTATATTTTATTGAAATTCACAAATGAAATATTCGAGATTAATGTATGGAAGTAGACTTATGTATGATGATAAACCCTTAGTCATAGTAAAAATCTACCTGATTTTATAAACTGTTGAGGATTCAAAGTTTATGGTAAACTAACTATCAACTGTAATACTGCATTTCGAACATTGCCGTTTTGTATATCAAAGAACGTTTTATTAGTATCTACAACGAGAAAATTATATGGAGCATCATCAGTATATAATCATTGGTCTATATTTTAAACGTGATGATCATTTACAACTTTTCTGAACACTGTCCGACTATGAGTTTTTAAAATATTTCTCTTTAGTTTCATTGAAAATCTTCTTTGTAGTTGTAAATAACGGAGTCACTCATAGACTTACTGAAATAATCAAAAATAAAGTATTAAGAAACGAATGAAAGAATTATATTTAATCACACCTGATCATTTTATTCTTTTTTTGATCGATTTCTTTCAATATTCACTTATAAATGTGTGCTGTGAGGTAATGATGCCATAGAATATTGTTCTTTACTAGGGAAAGATCCTTATGTATCGTTCATAAGAAATGGGGTTTCGATGTGGATTTCTTAAGACTATTTTCTTTATCAACAATATATACAAACTGAAATGTTTAATTGAATACATTTATTAGTGATGAATTACATATAATGAAAAGCAATCGTAAAATGTGATCAAACTTGCAAACTAATCAATTGACGGTTAATAGTCGGTACTTCTCATCAATTTCCATTACTACTCAGCCATCTTGAGAGTGCGGGTGCAGATATTGATATGATTCTTCCTCCTAACACCCAATCACATCCTAATACATGAACTCAAACTACTCTTTTCGTCAAAAGATAGGATCAGTTTGGTTTCGATTGATTCAAGCAAAAAAACAGTACAAGAAGCTGAAAATATAAGCATTAATGAGTTTGAGTGAAAGGTTGATAATGGGAAAGTTTTATGAAAAGTTTTGTTATCGAACGAACATTGTCATTTGCTCCATATTGTTAAGTGATTAATCATGAAATAATGTTCTTGATAGAGTAAGGAAATGTCAATAAAGATGTTGAATATGATGAAGAAATAAATTTTAACAATGTATGAGAACACTGACGGTGTTTGAATTCGTATTTGCAGTGACAATATCGGGTTTATTGTCATTGTTCACATCAGCTACTGCTGCTGATAGTGGATGTGGACCAACTTCGTAAGTAGTTTGAGGAGAAAAAGTGCCGTTGCCTGTGTTGAGAAGAACACTGATGGTGTTTGAATA